CACATACTATAAGGGGAGAATGGAAAGAGCAAAGTGAGAGTCTAAGAGGCAAGGATTTTAACTACCTTTTTTTTTTAATGAAAGGACATATGTTTAGGGGAATCAAACATAATTTTTGAATTCTCTTTAGGGCAGAAAGAGACAGGGTTGAACTCCTTTGGCTCCCTCCCTCCCTCCCTAAGATTTGAAGCCAAAGTTATCAACTGAATTTCAGTCCCGGAAGCCATAATGAGGGGATCTGTCTGAGGGGACATCTTGGTCATCTGGCTCCCAGAGTCAGGTGGACCTTGTCTATACTCTCAACTGGCATAAATAGGGGAACTTTATTCGTCATGCATTTGTTCTTGGGGAAACAAAATTTTAAAATTCCTGTTCTTAGCTTATCAAATACAGTTGATGAGAAAAAGTAAAGAGTTAGAATTGTTTACAAAAGAGAGAGCAGACTAAGAGAAATGGCTTATAATAACCAACATGTCTCAGAGTTACTATAGAGTGGAAGGTGACCAAGTTTCCAATTCTTATTGAGGACAGAAAGAAAAAGCAAAACTTAGGTACACACAATGGACTTAGATTTGGTGGAAGTTAGATGTTGTAAAATTATGATTCATTAGAGTTTCCCTAGAAGAAATGTATTTGAAACACAAGTCATCAACACTTAAAAGTTCATTTCCCTCTACATGTTTGAACATAGATGAAAACACACAGACATTGACACTTAAAAGGGAAATAACAATGATCATCATCTACACAGACTCATGAACAAGGACACTAGATATTTCATCATTGTAGCAACTGAAGGGCAGGTGGTCAGAGCAGCAGTATTAGACATGATGGGCTGTGTTATGCTGCAATAACAAATGAGCCCAACATTTTTATGTATAATAACAATAAAGGTTCATTGCTCACTCATTCTACACATCCATGAAAGCATACCCAACACTTCACGTATCCTTTCTCAGAGACTGAGGCCTCTACCATCTTCTGGTCAGCAGGAAGGGACACATAAGGCTAAGTCAGACTCTGGTCCTAAAGGCTTCTGCCCGCTTCACTTTGTTGTACACTGCATTGACCAAAGCAAGTCACAAGGCCACAGAGATCTTACCATGTAACTGAAAAAGGGCCAAAAGAGACAGGGCTGAACTCCTTTGGCTCCCTCCCTCCCTCCCTAAGATTTGAAGCCAAAGTTATTAACTGAATTTCAGTTGATAAGGAAAATTAGATTCTTTGTGGACAGCTTCGTCACTGTCCTAGATTTACTAGAACTTTCTACATTTTTAAGTGATCTGTAAAGTGCAAGATTTATCCCTAAAAGTGTTTTGTGATTGTAACAGTGCTTGTCCTCCAAGATGGACCACCCTGGGAAGCTTGAGGCTGAGAAACTGCCAACACTCTTATTCCTTTTCCATCTAGAATAGCTTATACTTGAGCTTCCTCTAAGTGTCAAGAGCTAAACATACAAAGACAAAATAAAGTAAAATCTCTACTTTTAAGAAACTGATAATCTGGTTTCCCATGGGGTTCAGGGTCTGAAGTAGGGTGTGGATTGGATAGATTCATGCAGAAGTTATGAGACGGAAGGGACTTTGAAGAAGCCACAGGCCCAGGGATCTGGTGGTATTCCAGCTGGACCTAGGAGCACACACTTTGGCCCCTTCTTTTGCATGCCTCCTGTCCATGTAACACGTGTCATCCCTCTTGTCTTGTCACATTCTGGTGCATCAGCCTTCCTATGATGACCCTCCTTGATACTTCTGCTGTTTCCCTAATCTCTGGTTCATCTCTCATCATGCCTGCCTTAAACTTTTCTGTTTTCTCACATATCACATTTCCTGTCTCTAAACTCCCCTCTGCCTGGCATCCTCCCCTCTCTCCCAGCCTCTATGTTAACCATGAAAATTCCTCTTCCGAAGGGGCCTTGCCCAACACTATTTCCTCTCCCTTCCCTAGGCACTCGGCCATTTCCACCCTCCTGGCACAGTTCTGCAGTAACTCATTGGTGCATCTGTCTTCCTCTTTGGACTGTGAGCCCCCTGGTCCTGTGAGGGCCTCTGAAATCCACATGAAGGTTTTGGGTCTTTATCCTGACTGCCATGGGCAGCCTTGGAAAAAGGAGAACCAGGTTTGGGAAAAGATGAGTTCAGATTCACCATATTCAGTTCCAAATGCCTGTGAGTTATCTAAGTATAGAGGTTGAGTAAACTGATAATTGTCCTTTAATATTTTTTCTCCTCTTGTTCAGATCCACCCACTTTTAGCAAGGCACAAGGTACCTGGAATAAACTGTATTCTCCAGTTTTTCTTATGCATCACTAAGTTGTGGCCATTAGATATAAATGAAACTGGTGGTACTACTTTTGGGAAGTATGCTAGAAGAGTATTTTCTTTTTTTGTGTGATTTTCCTTTTCCTGCTGGTTGGAATGTGGACACAATGGTAAGAGCTAGACCAGCCATTTGGGGCTGTATGTTGAAGAGAGAAAGCCACAGGCTAGGAGCCTGGGTTCTCATGATCATGGAGTTGTCTTGCTGGCCTTGGACTGCCTGGCCTGTTCCTGCTTTGGCTTGCATCACTTGTCTCTTAACTTCTTGAGCAGCGGCCTCTGTGGGTTCTTTGTCCATGCCAGGCTCCCTCCTGACTGCCTGTGCTGTTCTCACTGCTTCCATCTCCTCTTGGACTGCCCAGAGCCCACTCACCTCTCCAGGCATCATCAAAGACTTCCAAGGTTTCAGAATAAACTTTCCTAACATCCTTTGCTACTTTCACTTTCTACTCCTCTTATAATGCTAATCACAATGAGAATTTAAGTGATTGTTTGTTGACCTTTAACCCCCTTGGTTGATAATTCTGGTGACTAAGTAGCACTTGTGCTCTACCACATTCCCAACTTTTAACAAACTCTCTGCACTTGCTTCTCAGCATGGCCCACAGTCCACAGAGGGCTATCACTGCAGAATCTCAGTCCCCAGGCCTGTAGACTCAGACTGCATGCTAACAAGATCCCCAGACAACTCCTACACACAACCAAGATTCAGAGGCACCAGTCTACTGCATACTAACCATAGTAGTAGTAGTGATAGTAATGTTTACTGGGTTTTGATAATGCTCTGGGGGTTGTTCTAAGCACATTACCTGCATTAACTCTTGTATCTCTCACAACAATCCTATGAGATGGTTATAACAACCCCATTTTACAGGTAGAGAAACAAAGGCACAGAGATTAAAGAACTTAACAAAGGTCACATGCCTAGTAGTGGTAGTAGTAGTAGTACAGTAAAAGAGAAGCAAAAAAAAACCATCTACTACCTGGAACAATCAAAGGCACATGGCATATACTTAACATTTTAAATAAATGCTAATAAGTTGAGAGATGAGATTTGAACCCAAGCAGACTGGTTTCAAAGTCCCTGCTCTTAACCACTCAGTATGTGATGATTTTTGTCAAGTGCACCCTACGAAATTCCCTGATATTGACATACTGTAGACATCCACATTTGATGAATGATTATGGCTGAATAGGTTGTATGGTATAATCAGAGTGGGCTGGTCCCTCTGGAACCCAGGTAAAGAGTTTGATGTAAAGAGCATCAAAAAAGGAAGAAAGTGGTTTGGAACTATTAGCTCCATAGTGACAAGAAACACCTTGAAGTTGGAGACTATGCTTTTGTGCACTCAAAGCCTCACAAGCCTGAGAGGAAGATGGATTACTATAAATAGTAATAACCAAAATGTCACTGGTTCTTGTCTCCATCAATTACCACATGCTCTAAGCATCTCGTATCTTTCTGGAATTACCCAGAGTATATCTGACCAGTGCTTACCAATGACTTTGTTCCTGGCAAGCATTGCCACTCTCTGTTACTTAAGAGGCACATTGGTCTCTTGGAGCAGCTGTGCTGTGGATAACCAGTCCCATTATCTCCAGCTGCAGCTGATGTGCTAAAGACCACTGTGTAGTCAAAAAAGAATACCTCGGCCCTTCATGCCATATACCATTGGGAGGTACTCCAGCTGGACTGCATGTGTACAAATGCTTTGCCAGACTTCAAAAAGTCCTTCTGATCTCCATAGTGTTCAGGTACGCATGCTATGGAACCTAGGCTATAAGCCAGTCTTGCTTGGGACCAGTGTTGGATAGGATCTAACCAACCATGTCTGAGCTCCTCTGTCCTAGCAACTTCCACCCTACAGACTCCTAATCCCTATCAAACTGATTTTTGTATTGTCAGGAAGTCCCAAGTGATTCTAAGCATCAAACCTAAATTTCCCCCAAACCTGCTTTTCTACCATAGTAACCTTATATGTTGAATTTTTGTTTCAACAATACACTCTGGAATGTATGTGTCCATTATCTCTTTCTACATCTTAAGCCTATGATTCCCTGGATGTTCATTACCACTAATTCCTTAGCATGAGGCTCCAGCTCTTTAGCTATAAACGTTATGAGAAAGTGTCATTTCTCCATTTTATAGATGAAAAAACTGAGGATCAAAGAGATTACACAACTATCTGAAGGTCATATGATGCCCAGGATGGAACCCAGTACCTCACATGTATGAGGCAAATGCTTTACCACTGAGCCAAAACCCCATACATTTATCAATAAACAAAATTTATTCATACCCAAGACAAGTCTCTCCCAAGAACACTGTAGACTTAAACCCTGTGGGTCAACCAATGGGATTGAGACCCCTGTCCTCATAAGGAAACAAGGCGAGGACCTGGCGCAACTTTAGAGACTAGCCCTTTGCTCCTTTCTCCTACTCGCGCGAGAGTTTCCTTCACCGAGCCCCCAACTTGGCTTTGAACTAGGCAGCCGGCTAGGAACTTGAGCGCCGGTCCAAGCCCCGCCCTTGACCCCGCCCCTGGCCACTCCTCGCCGCCGTCGAGGACAGTCCATATCCGCCAGTAACCGCCATTTCCTGTCCAACTCTGGGCGCCGCAGGTCAGTGCAGTGGGGTGGGCTCGGGGTCTCTCCTGGCACCGGGGCTGGCTTGGCTCTCAGAGCCGAGTGGAGGCAGCCAGATTGGGCCTCAGCGGCTAGGACGGCAACAGCCGCGGCTGGGACCTCCGTGGAGGGCACAGCGTCGGTGAACGCTGGGGAACGGTTGCCAGGCAACGGGACGCGAGCGCGGGAGCGCAGGCCCAGTTGGTTGATGCAGGAGCGCGCAACGCTTTTACCGTCGCCCTGTGCTCATCCTGGGGAAGGTGGAAAGGGCCAGACAGCGTGCGTCTTTGGACCCTTGCGCCGGATCCGAGGGGTTGGTGCACGAGGTGCCGAGCCTGTCTTCTGACCTTTTACCCTTGGGCAGGTTAATTCACGTCGCACTTCCTCCGTTCTGATAGAGTTAAATATTTGAGCTGGGAAGAACAGATAAGGGCCTCACACTTGTCACCCATTGTGCATCTGGTGCTATACTAATCCCCAAGATGACCCCCAGATTTATACTACTGTCTGTAGCTCAGAGGAGGACTCTGAGGCTCTGAGGAGTTGTGGCATTAGCCAAGATTATACAACTTGTAACTTGTGGAGATAAGGACTTGGACTCAGAGCAAATAACACAGCTTGTTCTTGGCAAAGTCCTAATTTGCAATTGTAGGTTTCTTACACTACTACCGCACTAAACCTGTGAATCAAAATTAACTACCTGGAGTGTATTTAAAGTACCTGGGCCCTATTCCAGGTTTACTGACTGAGAATCTCTGTGGTTAATTCTGAGGAATCTACAAGCTTCAGAAGATTTTTATAGGTGTGCAGATGAACCTTTGGTTACCACTGAGCACACCGTGCTGCCTTCCCACTCAAAACCAAAGGTGGGGTAGTAAATCTAAAGTACCTTGGAGAGGATTTGAGAAGAGATGCTGGTGCAATGTGGCATCAGGTTCGAATCCTGCAGGCAAGGATTCACTCCCTGAAAAAAGCTTCATTCCCGGAAAAAGCCAGAATCATTAAGTGTGGACATTGAAATGCACATTGTCCCATCTCTGGTTACCTGTTACACCACTAGGTCCAAGCTTCTGACTCTGGGTCTTTTCTGACCAAAAGCAGGAATTAGTGCCCTCTATCCCTGGTGTCCTATTACCTGCTCTCCTGATCTCCTTCTCCCCAGGTCCCTCAATCACAGTGGTTGCTGTTGGCTTTAGAGTAATTATTTGCAGAGCAGTTTTTCTAGCAAAGGCAGCTGGCAGCTTTCTGAAGTATTGTCACAAATGAGTATCCCTTGGACTTAAACAGCAGTCAGAGTGAAATGGATCACCCTGCTGTTATTCATGACATTTATTTATAAACACAAATATGTCCTAAACAATAATCACTTGGCTCTTGGTTTTAGAAGGCTAATAAACCTGACAGTTCTGTTTAGTGTTTTATTAATTTCATCATTTATCCTGCCTCCCTTAGGGATTCTGGTCTACAATGGCTGATGATCAAGAGAAAGATTTGCAGAAATTTCTAAAAAATGTGGATGAAATCAGTAAGTAACAGTAAATCATATACAAATTAAATTTTGCTTTGGAGAGGTGGTGTGGCTAAAGAGAAATGATTATGTTAGTTCCTGGGTTGTCTGACAGATTTATGATTTAAAGAAAAAAAATGTAATTGAAGTTAAACAGAAAAAATATTGAGAAATTTATATTATAGCCTCAAGCGGTATTTTCTGCTGTTAATTGGTAGCATAGAAGCTGTTAACCTTCCGATTAGAATTCAGGCTGACAGCTCTCCTCCATATTTTGTTCCCTTTCGTCAAGAGGAGCTGCTCTTTTCTCATCACCAGTGAGCCTGGCTGTCCCTTCAAGGAGACCATTGATCAGTCTGGGAGCCCTTCTGTTTTAGAGTAGAGCCATTTCTGCTCTTGAGCTGCAGATGCAAAATGAAAGGCTTTCCCTCAGAGTCCATCAAAGGACCTGGATGACTTATGATCATTATCCTCTTCTCTTCCCCTCTTGGCAAGAAGACCCTTCTGCAACATGAAGAAGGGACCTCAAAAAAAGCGTACTCTGATCCCACACGTTGCATTCAATATTCTAAGCCAGACAGTTCCTCTTGAGATTTCAGGGAACTTGTTCCATGCTAGAAACAAACAAGCCAACAAGAAAACAACCTGACATAGTAAATAGAAATACTATAAAGTGCTGTTTCCAGTGGATTGTATGGGTACAAAGAATAAAATGTTTTTAAAGTAGTTTGGGTAATCTCAAACTGATACATACTGGTATGTTCTTTATGTCCTCATGGACTGCTCCTCTGCTCATCCTTGAACACTGGTCCATGAGTTCTGGCCCTGGCCCAGTGCTCACCTGCCTCTTCACATGGATTTAACTCCACCTGCTTGCTGGTGACTCCTGCATCTAAATTGCTACCCAGGCTTCTTTTCAGAGCCTGGACTTCTATGGTCAACTGCCACATCCACTGTGTCCCCAAAATACCCCAGCCTTAATGTGTCCAGAATTGAATCATCATCCCTTTTATCCTCTGCTCTCTTCCTTCCCAATAAACCCTGCCTTTCTTAACTCCCCCTCCCCCTAGAAATCTAACCCTCTCAACTCACCTCCAATCAGCCTTGACCTTTGGTTTCTCTGCCCAGCACCATCCTCTCCAGCCCTCTCTTTGTGCCATTCCTCTCAGCAGACTTTCAACAACTCCCTAATTGTTGTTTCTGCCATCAGCTTACTTCCCACAGAGTAATGTATCTAAAATGCAAATGTGGGCCAGACACTTCTCTGCTTGGATTCCTTTGCAGTCAAAATAAATTCCAAACTCCCATCAGGACCTCAGTCCTCACATGACCTTTTCTTACCTCTCTCATCTCTTCCTACCTCACACTTAAGCAGCAGCATTTCCTCTGCTTTCCCTTCCTTTTTTACCTGTCTTAACTTTTATTCGTACTGAGAATTCATTCGGGAATCATTTATACTAGTATCATTCACTAGAACTTTCTATGATGATAGAAACGTCTGATAATCTGCGCTTTCCACTGTGGTAAACAAACTAGCCACATGTGACTAGTGAAGATCTGAAATGTGGCTAATATGACTGATGAACTGAATTTCTCATTTTATTTCATTTAGAACAAATTTAAACATAGAGCTACAAGTACAGATTCTATACATTTATTTCTTGGGCTTCCACTATGTTGAGTATTGCTAAACACTATAGGGTACAGTAAAAAATTATTTTCCTTTTTTATATCTATAGTTCAGTGAGAAAAACAGTAAGAAATTTTGAGATGATATATGACAAAAAGAAAGGCATGCAAAGTACAAGAGAGAGAGGATCACAATTTGGGGGATCACGTTAGTTTTCTAGGGCTGTTGTAAGAAAGTACATAGACAGCATGGCTTATACAACAGAATTATATTTTTTTTTTTTTTCACTGTTCTGGAAACTGGAACTCCAAGAACAAAATGTTAGCAGGTTGGTCTCTCCTGAGTCCTCTTTCTTTGGCTTGTGGACAGCTTTACTTGCTGGGATTTGCATAATTATCTCTTTGTGCATGTTCTTACAACGACAACAGTCATATTGGATAATGGCCCTACCTTTTAACCTAATTGAATCACATCTTTAAGCCCTTTGTCCAAATATAGTTACATCCGGATTTAGGGCCTCATCATAATTTTTTTGGGAGGGTGGGCTTGGGGAGGAAGACACAATTCAGTCCATAGCAGTGGTAAAATAAGGTTTGCCTGAAGAAGTGAAATAACTGAAGAACAAGTTGGAGTTGGCCATTGGGGAGAGGACAAGAGTCTTCCAGATGGGAAATAAGAAGGCAGGGAAGCTGGGAGCTGCAGACAGAGTGTGGTGCTTCTTAGAAAGGGAAGGAATGGAAAGTCCCATGTGACCAGAGAGAAGAGAGCCAGATAAGGAAGTGAGGAGATGCCAGATAAGGAAGAACTTGAAAGTTGTTATAAGGAATTTGTGTTTACCAAAAGCAATGGGCAGCCTTTAAAGGGGTTGCTTAGAACCGAAGCATGATCAGATTTATGCCTTAGAAAATGCTCTTCAGCCGTGGTGTGGAATGTGAACTGGAGTGGAGAAGGAAACATACGAGAGATGTGAGGAGGCCATTACAGTACTGTAGGAGAAGAGATAATGGCTGCCCTGGGAGTGATGGCAGTAGGAATGGACATAATAGACAAATTTGAGACATATTCAGAAGTTATATTCAAACAAGCTTTGGCGTCCAATGGCTTTTGGGGTAAGGGAGAACGAAGACTCAGAGGTGAGTTCAGAGACTTGAATGGCAGGTGGAGATTGGGCTATTTGCCGAGATAGGGGCATTTGAACAGACTTATGAGGAAAGAAGATGGACATATTAGGTTTGATGAGTAAGATCTCTTAGGAAAGATGTTCAGAGAACAATTGGCTCTTTTTTCTTCTGAGCCTGGGAGAGGCATGTCTGAACTTAAGAACACAGAAAAGTTAAACCTTGAGAATTGGAAAGTGCTATTCAAAATAGATGTTGAATATTAATATCAGACAAAAGACTTTAAAGCCAAGGCCATACTTAATTTTTTTCAGTTTTATATAAGGATTAAATAACAAAATTATTTATTTTTATGATGTACAGTATGGTGTTTTTTAAAATTTTTTAATTCTAACTTGTTATATATGACAGCAGAATGTATTACAATTCATATTACACATATAGAGCACAATTTTTCATATCTCTGGTTGTACACAAAGTATATTCGAACCATTCGTGTTTTCATACATGTACTTAGGGTAATGATGTTCATCTCACTCCACCATCATTTCTAACTCCATGCCTCCTCCTTTCCCCTCCCACCCCTTTTTTGATGTATGCATATGTTGTAAAGTGATTAAGGCAAGCTAATTTAACCTATTCATCACTTCATATACTTACTATTTTTTCTCGGTGAGAGCACCAAAGAACTATTCCCTTAGCAGTTTTAAGATATATAGTATATTGTTATCAACCATAGTAGGCACGCTGAACGGTAGAGCTGCAAAACATTCTCCTGTCTGACTGAAATTTTGTACCATTTGACCAATATCTTCCTGTTCTTTCCACCCCCAGCCTCTGACAAACACCATTTTAAAAAAAATCTTTATTTTATTTTTATGTGGTGCTGAGGATCGAACCCAGCACCCTGCACATGCCAGGCGAGCGTGCTACCACTTGAGCCACATCCCCAACCCAACACCATTTTACTCTGCTTCTGAATTCAACTTTTTTGGATCCTACATATAAGTAAGATCATACAGTTCTTGACTTTCTGTGTCAGCTTACTTCCTTTAACATTGTGATTTCAGTTCTAACCATGTTGTCCTAAATTACAAGATTCTTCCTTTTTAAGGCTTAATAGTATACACAGACCTACACTTCACATTTTCTGTTTATCTGTTGGTGGACAGTTGGAGTGATTCTATATCTTGGCTACTGGGAACAATACAGCAATGAATATGGAATGTAGATTCCCAACATACTAATTTTAATTCTTTTGGATACATTTCCAAAAATAAGATTTATGGATCATATACTAGTTCTATTTTTAAATTTTTGGTTTCAAGCAAGACTTTAGTTCTAATGCCAAAATAAACCTATCAAAATATATGCAAGGTCTCTGTGGAGAAAATTACAAAATTACAAAATTTAATTGCAACAGATCCCGGTGGTAAAAGCTAGAACAATTTGAGTAACAAAATCAACATTGTATTTGGTTATCATCCAAAGTATAAAATAAATTCCATGAGTTCATACTGGTATATATAATTGAATAAATAAATAAGTAAACAAGTAAGACAAATCTTTCATTCTGATGAATTCCAAATAATTTATGTAGATATCCTTCTTTAATGAGGTGGAGCAAGACTTCCCACCTCATACATACAAATGAGATACATTAAGTGGCTTGCTTCTAAAGAACACAGTCTGACAAGGAATATGGAAAAATAACTTTACAATGGAAAAGAGCTGATAAGCAAACAGTATTAAATAAGTAATCCAGGTTAACATGATAAATCATGTTAATAGCATGTACCCTTGATATGGTGTGCTTTGGTCTTCCTTCCCACAACTGTAATCCTAGACTACCCATGAGAAACATGTCAGATAAACCCAAATTGATGACACTGTACAAAATGCCTGGTTAGCACTTCTGAAACTATCAAGGTCATCAAGAACAAGGAAAGTTTGAGAAATTGTGATGGCCCCGAGAAGCTGAATGACTGAATGTAGTATGGTATGTGGATGAGATCCTGAAACTGAAAAAGACAGTAAAGAGAAACCAATGAAATTAGAATAAAATGTGGAGTTTAGTTAATAAAAATTTTAAGTAAAAGACAAAATAATATCCATATAAATGGAGACTTTTTAAAATCATGAATGGGAAGATCCATTTGGTTCTCAAATTATTTCATCTAGTCAATACAATTGAGAACATCCCTAAAGTGGTTTGTGCTAAAATTCAATAAGGTGATTCCACAGTTCATATGGAAGAATAAAGATCAAGAAAAATTAAGAAATTTCTATAGGACAAAAAAGAGGGAGAACTCTTCCTAGCCAAAATTCAAGATTATTATAAAACTACAGTAATTATAGCATGGAGGTTTAGGGTTGGAAAAACAAGCAGTCCAGTGGAAAGGAATGAAGAGCCTAGAGCAGATTGACAGCAGGCTGACAAGGACAAGACACAATCAGTGGAGAGAACAGGAGCCTCCACAGATGCTCCCATGTTACACAGAAATCAACTCCAGGTGGATCACAAACATTAACCGGAAAAATAAGCCTTTAGAAAGAAGAGACCACATTTGTAACCTTAATGGCACAAAAGGCATAAATCACAAAAGATTGGTGTATATAACATTAAAATTAAAAGGAAATCTCTTTGACAAAAGTTTCAAACAAACAAATGAAAACACAGTTCATACTAAAGGAGACAATGTTTACAAATCCATGGTAACCAGTTTAGAAGATATCAAGGAATCATATAAAGACATACAAAAGGGATAAATGACCAGTAAAAAAAATTGGCCAAAGACAAGAACAGATACTTCACAGAAGCTGCTGTCCAAATGGTCTGCAAATCAATAAGAGACTTAATCCCAGTCATATTCAGCAAAATGCAAATTAATGAGATACCTTTCCCATCCACCGGAGTGACAACAATGTGAATGTTTGATATTAGCAAGCTTTGACAAAAATGTGGAGGAATGGGAAGACTTTTTTGTACATTGCTGTAGGAATAAAAATTGGTGTAGCTATATCTTAATCTATAACATGTGCACAAGGTAATGTATGCATACAGGTATGCTGTATTTATTTGCTGTAGCAAAAAGTAACCTGGATATGTTAATAAGAGTGGATCAAGTATGGTACATACAATGATTAAAGTGAATTACCTGGAGCCAAATGCACCAAGAACAAATCTCTAAAGCATATTAAGAGATAAAGTAGGTAGCAGAAGAATGCACATTCTATAAAGTTGTTTATTAAAAAGTATAAACACACACATATCAGATCCTCTGATGGATTGGGGAAATGGTCATGAATTCTCTTCTTCCTATCAAGGGTGGAGTCCTGGATTGGCCATGTGACTTGTTTAGCCAAAGTGATGTTTACAAACATGACACAAACAGAAACCTAAAAGCACAAACATTGGGGCTTGCTTTCTTGGCTACCCCTGCTGGGATGAGATACCCTTTCCCTAAATGTTCCTATTGCTCCAGCCAAAGCCAGACAACTTTCCCAAGCAGAGCAACTTAGATGACTGATAACTGAAACGTGAGCCCAGCTGAAACTCGGAGAACTAGCAGCTAAGTCCAATTCAAATGACTGACCCAGAGAATTGGAAACTAAATAAAGCTAGACAAATGGTGTTTTTCAGTCAGTAAATTTCAGGATGGTCTGTTATACAGCAAAAACTCAATGGTACAAATATTAGACAGTAAAACATGCTGGAGAAAGGATATATATGAACTGATAGATGGTATGGAAAAAAGTACCTCATTTTATGAATATTTAAAGTATTTTACAACTAAAATTTGAAGTAACTTTCCTTGGAAAGTTAGTGGGAAATGAAGAAATGGTAATGAGAAAATACCTTTAAGAAATTATTCATGTACAGAGGAGACAGGGGGGTTGGGGGAGTTAAAGTGTGTAAAACATCTTTAGGGGGAAGCTGATTGACTGGGTTGGAAATATTGACGAGATGGAATAATTAATTGGTGATGCAGGGTTCCTGTTTATGTTAAACAGGATGGAATGGGATCAGGATGGTGGGATCCTGAGCACAAGATGAGTGATAAACCTCACTGGGGAGGAGGGACACCTTTTACTTGTGGTAGGAAGAATGGATGGGTGTAGATGTAGGCAGTTTTATAGTTTTGATGACAGGAAGTTGTTGAAAGAGTTTCTTTCTGATGTCAGCCCTTCCCTCTCTGAGTAAATTAGTAGGATCATCTGTTTGGGATAGTGGTGTTTTAATTGCAAAAAGCTTGAAAGTCCTTGGGGAATAGTAGAATGCCTTGCTAGTAGGATTGATGGCCATCACTGAAGGTCCAATGGAGTTAAGACCAGTTTTCCCAGGCATTTCTTTCTCTATAAGTACCCAGCATCCCGAATAAAGGCTGAGAAAGGTGGATCCTTGGATTCATCTAGAGTTGGAACTTTGTGTGGCTTAAGTGAGATGGGAGGGCAGGATGGCTGCCAAGGGGCGGACTGTGGAATCTGAGTTTGGAGGCAGTACTATGAAAATTGTTTTGTGATCTCAGAGCTGCCTGTACCTTACTCCCACACAAGATTATAAGTTCTTTTAAAACAGGATATTTTTATTTATCATAGTTATCTGCAGCATTCAGCACAATATCTAACTCTGAATAAGCTCTCCAAAAATTATTGTTGAATTCACTAACGGCTTAAAACTATTCCTTGAAGCCCAGAGTTAAATTCTTTTGTAGCCTTTTCCATGCAAAACAAATCCTGTTCTGAATTGTTTCATATTGGTTCTAATTGCTCTGTTTTGTTTCTCATTGCCTTATTTTCCTTCTTTAAGTTCCCCCCCATTAATTTTATACACTGTCCTTCTAATGAATGGAGTCTTTCCTTTTGAAGACCTCTTTTGATTGATTCACATCTGATTTCTCCTCTAGCCACTTTAATTCAGGAGATGAATTCTGATGACCCAGTTGTTCAACAGAAAGCTGTCCTCGAGACAGAGAAGAGACTACTGCTCCTGGAGGAACACCAAGAGGAGGACGGGTGCAAGACCACCTTGAACAAGACGACGATCAGTCCTCCACAAGCTCCTGCAGAGGTTTCTTTTTCTATTGCAGACTTATATAAGTAGGTACAGCAGGAAGACCTGCATTGAGGCAGTCATTTAATTTCAAGCTATCTGGTGAAGCTGAAATACTCTCTTATTCCTTAGATTCACCAGACTCATTTTCCATAAGGAAGTATAAACTCTTGATATTTTGCCCCCTTCATCTTTCTGGATCATCTATAAACAACCTTTGTGTTTGTTGTAATGAGAGTTTGGCCTCTACCCCCTGAGCATGTATGCCATATTTAAGCTGTACTGTTAAAGTAATAAATTCTACTAATTCATATTTCTAACTCATGCAGCCACAGATGGAGTCCCTTAACCTGGATACCCTTGCTTTTCCAAACTCAACCCCATAACAACTGCACCCACAACCAGATCTCCTAATTTAAAGCAAGCTCCCTAAATTTTGGACCTTTCCATATTAGTGGTTAAAGGAAATGACTTGTCTCCTCATTTATAATCTATTTGCCTTCTTGGTTTGTATACCTATAAATCAGAGAGTGGTTTTTGAAATTTGTTTCTTTGTTTTTATGAACGCCTGTGTCTTACAGAATGCAGATGAATTAAGCCCAGGTAAGAACAGCATCTCTTTTCCCAATGAGTATTATTTGTTTAGGATCATTTTTTTTATTGATTATAACTTCTAGACCTTTAAATTATAGCTTTTAGGCTTACAAATAACCAATGAACAAAATCCACTGATCACACAATTCTGGTACTAGTGGTCAGAGGGAAAAGTGCTCAGACGCTTTTCTGTATTTTCTCCTGACCAGTCTTCTGTAAACTGACTTCAGTTATTATACATCATCCAATTTACTCTTAGGGAATTCAGATATTTTCTGTCTTGCTCAGCTCCACAGCTCATTATGCTAAATGGAACAAAAAAAAATGTCTCTCTTCAAAGAAAAAAATCTTTTAAAAGACATAATTCAAATTTGAAGCATAGTCATAGCCATCATGTATAATAATACATCACGCAGATTACCATTTAATGTCAAATTAAGAAAAATGTCATTTTAGCTGCCTCAGAACCGTATGTGTGCATGTGTGTGCCTGTGCCTACGTGTGTGTGCATGAGAAGTGTGGCTGTAAAACTCTAAAGTAACTCTTTTTGGCATTTGAGTTAAAGAACTGATTATACTATTTGGGTTTTTCTTTTGGCTGTTTGAAATTACTCTGCCATCAGAGGCCTTCTTGGCATCTGTGGAGAAGGATGCGAAGAAGCGAGCCAAGAGAAGAAGGGAAAACAAAGTCTTAGCAGATGGTAATTATCAGTCTTTACTTTTCATTGCTGAACGATTCATGCTGTAAAGAGCATGCGAGAGTCTGTTATGATGTTTGAGGATATTAAAAGTCCCAGGCAGTGGGTTCATCATGGGCCTGTGGCAGTGGGATCTGTCCAGGCGGAAGTCATTGGGGGTCTGTTCTCTGCTCCTGCATCAAGGCACAACTAGTAGGACACAGCCTTAGTCGCCCTCCGCAGTCAGCCCACCTCCTAAAGCATATGGGCTTAGGGGATCAGATTCCTGAAGAGTGCTTGGAAAGTAGGGAGGGAAGGGAGTGGCTCCACCAGTAGCCTGAGATGTGTATTATGTATGAGGTGTAGACGAAGAAGTCAGAAAGAAAAATGAAATGAGAAAACAGAATTGTGAGAAAGGAAGGGAGAAATAAAGGATAAGAAAGACACATGTCATGTGTTGGGGGTGAGAGACCTATGCCAACAGGTGCTTTCAGTTTTGCTGAGAGCCATAGCCAAGTAGGAATGACGCATGGCATTTTTGGGTTGAAAGGTGACCCTGCTCAGGGATTAAGGTGGCTCCGGGTTTAGGGTAGATCCTGCTGGAATAGGGCAGCTCCAGGTTTAGGGTGGATCCTGCTGGGATTAGGGCGTATCCTGCTGTCTCAGGCACCCGCTTTTTGGAGTTCCCGTTGAGTTCTTCCGGGGTTCTGAGAAAATTGGTATGCAGAGCCCGGTGGAGGGAGTGTATTTTCCCAGAATGTGCGTGCAGAGTATCGGTGAGAGTTCGGGAATAAAGAGTTGCTCTTTGAATCTACAAGGCTGTGTGGTGGCTCAGTTATTTGGTGCCCAGCCAGACTGCGGCACAGTTTCTTATGTCGCCAGTGGTCTGTGTGCTGCGGATCTGCATGAGTCCATATTTGTTAGAACACTAACTATGGGACCCCGTTTATGAGACATTGGTCTCTGTGACAGTATTGGAGTGGTTCTGAGCCTTGATGCAAAAAGAGTCACTTTCTTTAAGAAGCTACTTAAAAGTCTTACAAAAAAAAAAAAAGAAAGAAAACAAAGAAGATAGTCCTGAAATACATGCAGAGAGAAAAGAGTTAATTGCCATTTGGGTCAATGGCAGCTAAGATCTTCAAGTGGAATTGGAAAAATCAGGGAAGAATTTTCTAATGTACAGTGAGAGCTCAGTTGTATGACTGTTATTTTCATAGCCCTGAAAGAAGAGGGGAATGAAGCCTTTGTCAAAGGTGACTATGAGACGGCAATCCTGCACTACAGCCAGGGCTTGGAGAAGCTGAAGGACATGAAAGTGCTGTACACCAACCGAGCCCAGGTCAGTGAGCTGCGGATTTACCCAGGGTTCTTAGAGAATGGTTGTCCCTGAACTTGAAAAACAAGTTGAAGACAAAACTAGATATTTTTTAGGCTTTACCAGCCTAACAGGTAAACCAACTGTTTACCAGCTGGCCCTTGATTTGTATGTGGAGTGTACCAGTTTCCACAGTATTCACACCACAATCTACTTTTAAGTTCCTGATGGGAGGTCACTGGAGGAGGAGGACTGGGAGGAACTATATAGCATCATGGCATCAGCTCCTTCCACAGAGTACATCCTCCCCAGCACATCCCTGAGGATGACCAGGCGCTTTCCTATGTGGATAAAGGAGAAAACCAGTAGAATGTAATAACCTGTGAGACCTTGTCATTCTGCCACCACTCAATTCCACTGGCCTCCTGTTTTGGTGATAATCTTAACTCCTAAAAGCTACTCCTTTGTGACTGTCTTATTCATCATATCCATCCCTCTTTAAGATTGAAATCCTGTGACTGAAGTAAACTAGGTAGCTGATGGAAATAGAGCCAGTTTTTCAGAAATTTGGATTTTCTAAAATCCCTTTCATCTCAGATTTGTATCATAGGGGTTCACAGTCACTTGGAACACCAGGTAAAAACCATCACAGGTGTTCATTTCCTGCTACTTAATTACAGGACAAAGCTGATAGCTCTTAGTTGAAACAAGAATGTCACCTGTGACCCCATCATTGAAAAGTAGTTGAGTTTTTATGGGGTAGAGGTCTCCTTGGTCAGGCCTGAAAAACTGGCAGATTCATGGCATGATTGTCTGATTGTTAGGACCTGTCAGCAAGGACCTGTGTGAGGTGAACTGGATACCACATCTTTCTCCAGAGGAAGAGTGTGCAGCAGAGTCCCTGTCATTGACAATCTCTGTAACTCAAGATTAAATGTCTGGTTGGGGTGTATTGAGGAAGAGTATGGAAAGCAAGAAACAGGACATTGGGAAGCCAGAGTCTAGGGAGTGACGATGTAACCTCATTAGTTTAGCGGTTTGAATACATCGCACTAGAGTTGAGGTGTCATTTATCTACCTCCATTTGTGGAGAAAACTTGTTAAAGGAAGTGAACTGATAAATAAGGTAGCCTGAAGCCGATTTGGCAGTTTACATTTTATCACCCTATCACCCTAACTAGACTATAAATGTGAATCTTTTGAGGGCAAAAACTGCTATATCTTTCCCCACAGTGCTCTATTTATAATGGACATTCCCTAAATTCTGATTGAGTTACATAACATTGGAAGCATAATAAGACCATTTAAGGAATTAAGCTTCTGTTGATGATTCAGAAGAATCATTTAAATGTAAGCAATTAGTATAATAATTACATTTCCTTCTTGTTTATCACCAATTTGGCCCCTAAAAACATCTACCTACTGGTGCTTGTTCAGTCTTGTTGCTCTGAAGTGATTCAAAAGCAATAAAATTGAATTGTTTTTAAAATGTTATATAATTCAGACTTATGTCTAATCGGATTTCCCTAATTCATCTAAATTAGTTACATTTTTTTACTGTACTCAGTTTTAAACAGTTTTTTGATTAATTCTGAAGAATCACATTAGGAGTGAATGTGGATAAATTTAAGTAAATGCAATGAAAAGCTTTGGGAAAGTAATTTCTCCCAGCTTTCCCGAAGAGAAAGCTTATTCAGAGACAAACACAAAATGTGTTGCCTAGTGTTAGGCATCATTTGAACCATTGACTATTTTTAAAATTCCTCCCCTGTTTGCATGCAGGGCTAGAAAACACTTAATAAGGACCCTGTGAATTGAATGTTGCTTGCTAAAGAAAAAAAACCTACCCTTTTATCTCTTTATTTTTCTCCTGAAGCAAATGTTATGATCAATAGATTGCTGGGGTAATTTAGATAAATCTAGAGTTTAATTGCCATTTGGCAAAAGTAGTTCTTCTTAAATGTGGAAAAGCAAAAGAGAATGGAAAAGTTACAGGGTGTTGAATCCAAGCCTTAAAAAAAAAGAAAAGAAAAAAGGACAAAAAGTAAAAAGCTGTGTGGTAAAATTGTTGAAGCCCTGGAAGACTTTTTCAGGGTCTGCATGTATCCTTAATCAGTGTCATAGAGTCATGGCTACAGTTGTCTAGAAGGATGCTAAGTTCTTCCTCACATCCTCTGGCTTTCAAATGCAACCTAAGACCCAGAGGAAAGGATGGTGTTTTATAGAGCAGGCAGCTTAAAGGGTTGTCTTCTTCAGTTAGTACAGAGCCCGAGATAATGAAGGAACAGCACTGCAGCTTCTGTTTTGTGGCAGGGAGCCACACTGCAGAGATTCATTAACTGACTGTTCCCTGCTCCTTCCTCACTTTGGCTGAGAGCTTAGATTCACCCATGAGTTCCAGCACTGACCCTGTAATTGGCCTGTTCATGTAACTATCTCATCTTATTGTTAAGAATGTTGCGGTGCCTTGGCACAGTTTTGATCATGAAGAAGCCTACTTGTGTTGGCTCTATTACTGGTGACTGATGGGACCCTAGAAAATCTACTTATCCTCCAGATGCTTAGTTTTCCTTTCTTACATGAGGTGATCATTGTTACTTCTTGGGGAACTCTAATCTTTGTAGTGCTTCTCAGTAAGAATTTATTGGCCACTTACTGTGTCCAGTAATTAGTAGAGAGCTTATAGTAGTCATTATGCTTATCTTTAAACAGTCTTTCATTTTTTTATTTGCCCCTAGTTCTGGAAACTTTAACTGATTTAAATCCTCAAGTTGGTTTAGTTTAAGTTCATTCAAATTCTAAGTTAATTCTTGAATGTCAAGATTTTCTCCAATTTCAGAAAATTCCAAAAGAGTTTCCAGACACTTCTACTGAGGGTTCATGGTACTGGGCTATTAAATATCAGCCTGTTTCCTATATTTCTTCCTTTTGGATAGGTTCATAAGGACAGAGCAGAATGTTTTCCTTATTAATTTTTGGTAACAGCATTACTGAGATATAATTCACATACCACATAATTCATCCATTTGAAGTGTACAGTTACTGGCTTTTAGTATAAACACAGAGTTGTGCAATCAATGCTTAAACATTTTCGTATCTTCAGAAGAAATTCCACTCTCTTTAGCTGTCACTCTCTACTCTTCCCAATCTCCTCCTGGTCCCCAGCCCTAGGCAACCACTAATCTACTTTCTATCTCTGTACATTTGCCTACTCTGGATATTTCATATAAATGGAATCATATGTTTATCCTTTTGTGACTGCTTTCCCTTAATAAAAAATTCTCAGAGTTCATTCACATTGTAGTATGTATCAGTTCTTTTTTTTTTTTTGGTGAGGGAGAAGTACCAGGGATTGCACTCAGGGGCACTCAACCACTGAGACATATCCCCAGTCCTATTTTGTATTTTATTTAGAGACAGGGTCTCACTGAGTTGCTTAGCACCTCACTTTTGCTGAGCCTGGCTTTGGACTTGTGATACTCTTGCCTCAGCCTCCCAAGCCATTGGGTATATCAGTTCTTTATTCTTTTCCATTGCTGAATTATTTTTCCATTGTATATTTTTCTACAATATTTTTGTTTATCCATAAGTTCATAAACATTTGGACTCTTTGTACTTTTTGACTATTACCAATTGTTCTGCTATGAGCATTTGAGTACAAGTTTTTATGTGGATTTATGTTTACAGTCTTCTTATAATCTAATTACAGGTGAAATTGCAAAATCATTTGGTAACTTTACAGTTAACCACCTGAGGAACTGCCACACTTTTCCAAAGTGACTGCAGCATTTTACATTCCTCCAAGCTGTTCCAGTTTTTTCATGTCATTTCCAACACTTGTTATGTTCTGCCTTTTTGATTCCCTTTATTATTTGGTGTCTTTCTGGAACATTCACAAACAGGGTAGCCTCCAGAATCTAGCTCTTCCTTTGCAGCTGTGGTTATTGTGCTGGACATTTTCTGTTTGTGCCTCTCCATCCTTCTCTGCTCTGCTCTGTGACATGGGGGTTGGCCCACGTAGACTGGTACCTTGGCTTCCCAGCCCTTTTGTTTCCATTTAGATTCAACCAGTGAGATCAGAAGGAAGGAGGAGAGTGAGACTGGGATACTTATTCTGGCTTTTAGCTCCAGCAAAGGTCTCGGCTCACGTCAGGCACTTCGTTTCACACGGATGTTCTCTCCTGTTTTCCACATCGCTCCCTCTTTCTGCCTCCCCAGTTCCAGCTGTGGTGATGGCTGCTCACTGCTAGCCCAGGTTCTGTAACATCCCTTGCCGGTTCCCCTGAGCCCTGCCCTCGCCTTGCAGTTAGTCCTTGTAACAAACTCCTTGCTTGCCCAGTGTTTTCTGATGGGATCTTCCTGATTCAGGGGACAGCAATCACTCCTCACCACCCTTCTCCTTCTATGTTGACTAAAGACTGTGTAATGCAGAGTTGTGTGTGAGTGTCAGCTCTTTGTTTCATTACAGGCTTATATAAAACTTGGAGATTACCAGAAGGCACTGGGGGATTGTGACTGGGCTCTGAAGGTAAGAGAATATTTCCATTCCCCTGTGATAGTGTCAGGCTTGCTGGGCCAGATGTCTTAGTCCTGAAATGGGTAGAAGGGAGCTGCCAGTGTATGATGCTGGGAAAGGCTCTGCAGACAAAGCCTCAGTTTCCTGACCTATCAGGTGGGATAGAATAGAATTGTTGCCAGGGTCCTGATAATGCACGTGAAGTACCTGGTTCCTATTAAGCACTCCAGAGAAGCCACATCGTTATTGGTTTTTTAAGGTTTTATACTGTGGCAGCTCTTTCTTTCCTATTGTGTCATCAGATGCTTTGCCCCATGCCTTGGTGGCAATGACACCTCTCTGGAGCCCTGAAGCTTGTTTCTGCAGTATTGCCATTCTTCCTCATCAGCTTGTGCATTTCCCCTCCAGCCCTAATAATTTAGAACTATAGCATGCTGTCTTTGTAGAGGAATAATCAGAAGAATACTTATTGTTTAACTTCAGTCAAGCCTCAGGCTGTACATGGTGTTCCCTCTGAAATCTGCCAAAATAATCAAAGGTACAGAGAAGTAAGGAATGTTCTGTTTGATTCCCTTTGATTCCCTAAAACCGCATGATCATTTCTTGGACAAGTTATTTTAGATGACTAAATATTTAAATAGCCCCTTATCTATATTCCTGTTACTCTGTCACAGGTGGCTTTAATTAAATAACCAAACTAGCACTTTTCAAATTTATGCACAGAAGTTCTAAAACAGAGGAGAATGAACTTGAGCCCCTGGAGGGTCTACAAACAAGAAACATGGAATTTCTTTTTCATCCTTGGGAATTTTGCATGGCACTCCATAAAAATTTTCTTTTTGTTTTAATATAACAGTATTATTTTAAACAACTTAGAATCAAGGAAAATTGAGGAGGTGGGAGAATATACCAGGTATATCCCATAGAATTTAACTCCTTGGAACAGTACACCGAGCCTAGTCTAATGATCATGGCCTATACCATGAGTACAGTCCATAGCAACCTACTGGCTCCATCTATTTATTTTTTATTGAGGGGGAAGCGAGAGAAACAGGGATGAGCTAGAAATTCACCTTTGCCTATGATAGTTCATAAAACATGCAGGATCTCCTCCAAAATCGACATCTGGAGAATCTGGTTTCTTTATCTCTTAGGAGATATAGTGTATGGTAAGCATTGCCCTGTTGCATTGTGGAGGTTCTTTAAGGTGTGAGGGTTGGTTGCCCAAAGCTGAATAATAATATCAAGTAATAATATCAAATCTTTGCACATCTAGCATAGATCCTCTAACCTACTTTGTCACCTTGATTGATCATGATTTCTTTTTTTTAACCACCATTCTGTAAGGGAAGAGAAAGGCAGGGATGTTTTGCTTGGTTGTTGCAACAATAACAGCAAAACCTGTGATTTGCTGCATTCTCACAACATCCTGTCCTGTTCTGTTCAATACCACTATTTTCCCTATTTTTCTGACAAGGAAGCTTAGCCTTGGAGATGAATTAAGTAACTTAAGCAGGATCACAGAGCTAGTAGGGGTCTTACTGTAAGTCCATGCTCATAACCATCTATTGTAAATGGTCTTTCTCCTGAAACTTTAAGCCCCTTAATCCCTGGGTGTAGATCTCATTTCCCTTCTGTGGAAGAAACAATATCTCCTTGAGGGCCTCCAGGAATCTCTTTTCTTATCTGCAAGGACTAAAAAGGTAAACATACCCTCATGCTGACTCAGGAGAACACACTGGCCTGCTCCCAAATGTTAGCTGAAGCACAGTGTAATTAATGGTGAAACCAAGGCAAAGTAGGCCCAATGGAGCTGACATTAAAAAACGCTGACACTCAGCAGCCAGTCTTGTTAAATGCCCAGCAAGGCTCCCACTTGAAGAGGTTTCGTAAACACTTGGAGGTATGGGAAAAGATGCACACGAAATTCTAAAAACTAGTGACAGTTCTTATGAAACCATGAGATCAAAAAAAGTTTCACTTTCTTTGAAAGTCTTTAAAATATCAGTAGCAATCATCACTGGCACTCCATTATTAATAGGACTAGTGCTTTCATGCCAATTTAATATTTTTTGGTATCTTTGAGTTGGTAGAGATAAGCTCATGTGATCTTTGAGGACTGATGTCCCTTGTGGAGGAAGATAAAGCCGTGAAGTTTGGTTCAATTAGTAAGAATTGTTCCTTTCTTGGTAGAGCACTTCCTGCATAAATGAAATGTGTCTTCCTCTGATGGCAGGATTCCTTTAAAGGGAAGCTGAGATTTACTCAAGAAACTCCTAGCAAGGGCTGACACACCATCAAAGGAGAAAGGCCCAGTAGTAAGAAAGTCAGTGGCCCTTTGCATGGGTATCAGAGTTGGCAAGGTCATAACTACACGCACTTCTTGGTGACTCAGGATAAGGCCAGGGCCCTGAGCTTGGGGCTCACTTGCTTCCTCTGTGTAACCCCAGTGCTCTACCAGGGAATGTGCTGAGCATTCATGTCTCATGAGCTTCAGTGCTGGATTTCCCATTTTTCCTTTGCATGTTTCTTTCCTGCATCCTCAGTTTTGCCCTTCAAGAATTTTAAGTTCATGGCTCTGCTCTTTGCCTTTCTAAACTCATCTCCTCTTATGAGTACAGCTATTATCTCTGCCAATGGCTCTCTGGCCTCCTTAACCATTCTCTCCCTGACCCCCAGCCCCAGGGCTGCTTAGAGGCACCTTCTACAAGTGTCCATTCAGTTGTCTTGGCATCATTGAAATCTAGAAGCCAGCCTTCCCTCTACCTTCCCTCAGTGACCTCCTGCTCAGGATATATCATGTTCTCCAGGCAGCCACACACCGAATTTTGACTTTACATCCTCCTTTAGCTTTACCATTTAGAGTTAGTTGGTGCTGGTGTTTCTTTGACATAGCTCTGGTTTCTGCACTTCCTTCCACTCCCATTGTCACCATGACTTCAGACATTAGCCCTCATTCCATGTGATTGTCTGGTATCCTCACTCATCTCCCTGCCTTTCCCTCCTTTGGTCAGTTCTGCATGCTGCCTCCATCAGTGACTCACCCTTCTCTGGCTTGGCACTCAAGGCCTCCATATGGAATCATGTCTGGCTCACCTTCAAGCCCCATCTTCCCTCCACCCAGCACCTTCCCCTCAGTCTCAGCTGGACTATCCACAGAAGTCCTCTGGACTCTCCCACCTCCAGACCTTGCTCAACCCCTTCTTTCTGTCTCCTCTCTTCACTTCTCCAGTCACTCAAGATCTGCTTTAAATCCCACCTCCTTTCAGACCCTGTTTATACTACATCTCTTTAGACCAGACTTTCTTTGACTGAACTTTTTCAATAGCATTTCTATAGCATCTATATGCTTTTATCTATAGCACACTTATAAAGGAGATCTGATATACTTTTTAAGCCCTTCTTGGGTCTCAAGTTTATAAATGGTCATATTTCAGATTCCAGCTGTTCACTTACTATCCAGGTCATGAAGCTCTCCACCCTCATTTTCTCATCTGTAGAATGAAGATAGAACTGTGCATGCTTCACTGAGGTATTAAAGGGCTTATATGAGATCACAAGAACTATCAATTCAGTGCCTAGAACATGGAGTGGACTGAGAAGTCCCATGTGCTCTTGTCATCGTTACTCCCATTCCCTTACCTGTGAGTCGGGAAATGACAGACATGAAAATGCAGCTCTACAGGCCTCTTCAGCCATTCTTGTTCCCTCTCTTACTACTGTTCTCCTTTTCTTTAAATCTTCTCTTTTGCTCTGAAATGAATTGCTGTTGTTGTAACCACAGCAACAGCAGCTAACCAGACCAATCAAAGTGTTTTACATGATTCTTCCTCATTACAACCTGTGCATTAAGAGAAAGATACTATTATTCTCTTCACTTTCCAATGTGGAAAATAAGTGTCCAAAAAGGCAGGTGACCTGGTCAATAGCCCACTTCTACAGTGAATGGGAGAACAAGGATTTACCCAGAACACTTTAGACTTCTGAGGTGGACCCCGAACCTCATTAAATCTAAACCCTAAGGAGCACCTGATCTGGCACAATGCCTTGCACCTAAATGGGGGTCAATAAAGGTTAACTAACTGGATATTTTAAATTTTAGTTCATGTCTGTGCCAAATTATTCCTTGCAGAATTATAACAATCAATGACATATTCTTAGCCATAAATTTCAATCCTACCTCTTTAATAGGGCAGCCCTTTGGATCTGAAATGATATGAAGGTGGGTTCCCAATTTATCTGGGGATAGTTCCTTCCCGGGGCCACTAAGATCTACTGATAACCCCAGTTGTTTTCCAAAAATCAATTCTCTCTATTCTAATAAACTAGTAGTTCTCAAGTTTGATTGCACAGTTACATTACCTAAAGAACTTAAAAAATTATTTATGTCTGGGCTCCATCCCAGAGAATAATCTAATTGGCGTGGGGTGCAGCCTGATTAGGAATTCTAATGTTTACTTAGTGTCAAGAGCTCTTCTAAGCTAAGACTTTCTGGTTTGTTTCATGAGTAGGACTCATTAAATGGAAATGAAAACTGGCAGGTATCATTAATTTGATAGAGAGCTTACTTGTGCACCCAGGCTCCTTGCAGGCATCAGATGCCTAGAAAAGTTTTAATGTCAACTCGGATAGCTGTCCTGAGAACCAAGCTCTGCCTCACTCTATTAGCTTGGCAGGGAGGGAAGTGGCTAATGATTTTAAATCTTTTGAAATATCTGATCAGTCATTCTCTTTTATGCAGTGTGATGAAAAATGCACAAAGGCATATTTTCACATGGGAAAAGCTCACCTGGCCCTGAAGAACTATAGTGCGGTAAGTTCTGAGAGGAATGTAAGTGGCATGTTTCATCACAAGAATGTTGCTCTGGATTGTCCCACAGAAGGACCATGGTTCTCCACGTTGGTTGGTTAGGTATTAGTCCAGCCGTTAGTGTTTTCCAAGGTAAATCTCAGGATCTTATAGGTGAGGAGGATGTTGGGTGTCAGCTAATGCAACCCCACCAGATGTGGGAATCTCCTTGGCAACATTTTTTTTTTACCAGTGTTCATTCAACTTCTGAGGAGAAAATACATAGCAAAAAGAGAAAACAAAATTTATTTTAATCTCATCCCCCAAAGCCAGTCTGTCTATCTTATATACACATATGTGTGCTAAGATACATGTTCTTAATAGCAGCTTTATTGAGATATAATTCTTATACCATACCATTTACCTATAGAAGGTATACAATTGATGGGTTTTAGTACTTTCAAAGAATTGGGCAACCATCACCACAGTCAATTTTCAGACATTTTTTTCACCTCTAACCTGTACCCAATAGCAGTTACTCTCCTCAACATCCCCACCTCAACCTTGGGCAACTTCTAATCTTTTTGCCTGTTCTAGACATTTCATATAAAATAGAATCATACAATATGTTGTTTTTGTGATGGATGTTTTTTATTTAATAAATGTTTAGTATACATCAGTTTTTCATTCCTTTTTTTTTGGGGGGGGTTATCAGGGATTGAACCCACTTATGCTTTACCATTGAGCCACATCCCCAGCCCTTTAAATATATATATATATATATATCTCAAAAAATATATATATACATTTTGAGACAGGGTCTTGCTAGGTTACTTAGAGCTCCACTCATTTGCTGAGGCTGGCTTTGTATTTGCAATCCTCCTGCCTCAGTTCCTTTTTATTGCCCAGTAACGCTCCATTATATGGGTATATTATTATGGTTAGGATGTGAGGCATCTCCCAAAAGCTCTGTGTGAAACAATGTGAGAAGGTTCAGAGGAGAAATGATTAGATTTGGAGAGTCTTAACCCAACAGTGAATTAATCCCTGTGGGATTAACTGAGTGGTAACTAGAGGCAGGTGGGGTGTGGCTGGAGGAAGTGGTTAATTGGAGGCATGGCTGTGGGGTATATATTTTGTATCTGGAGCTGGAGTTTCTCTGCTTCCTGAAGTGAGCTGCTTCCCTCTGCCACACTCTCCCATCATAAAGTTCAGCCTTACCTTGAGCCCTGAGGAATGGAGCTCACCCTCTGTGGACTAAGACTCTGAAACCATGAGCCCTCAAATAAACTTTTCCTCCTCTATAGTTGTTCTGGTCGATCCTTTAGTCACAGCAGCGAGAAAGCTGACCAAAACATATACCATATTTTATTTATCCATTTTGATGAATGTTTGGGTGTTTTCCATTTTTCGGAGTACTTTGAATAATGCGGCTGTGAACATTCATGTACAAGATTTTCATGTTTACGATCCTTTTAGGTATATGTATCTATGGGTAGAGTTGCTGGGTTAACTTTTTGGAAAACTGCCAAACTGTCTTCCAAAGTGGCTACAGCATGCTGCATTCCTACCTGCCTTGTATGAGTGTCCCAATCACTTCACATCCTCTTTGGTACTTGTTATTGTCTTTCTTCTCTATTATATCTATTCTAGTGGGTGTGAAGTGATTTCATCATGGTGTTAATTTGCATTTCCCAAATGACTAATAATGTTGAGATCTTTTCATGTATTGGCCATTTGTTTATCTTTTTTTTTTTTTTTTTGAAAAATGTTCTTTTCAGATCCTTTGCCCATTTTAAAAGTAGTTTTTACCTTTTTATCAATGAGTTTGTAAGAATTCTTCATATATTCTGAATACACATTGCTTATCAGATATATTGATTTATAGATGTTTTCTTCCATTCTATGTATTGCCTTTTACCTTCTTGATGGTGTTCTTTATAGCAAAAAAAAAATTAATTTGGATGAAGTCTTAATTACCTATTTTTTCTTTGGTTGCTTGTGCTTTTGGTGTCATGTCTAATCCAAGGTAATGAGAATTTACACCTGTTTTCTAAGAGTTTGATGGCTCTGATCCATTTTTTTTAATATGGAGTGAAGTATGGGTTCAATTTCATTCTTTTGCATGTGGATATCTGATTATTCCTAATACCATTTATTGAAGACCATTCTTTCCCCATTTGAATGATTTAAATCAGTTAATCATAAATAGATGAGTTTCTTTCTGTACTTTGAATTTTATCTACAAGGGTATGCTTGTGCCAGTACCACACACTGCCTTAATTTCTGTAACTTCAAAGTAAGTTTTGAAATTGAGAACTATGAATCCTCCCACTGTGCTCTTTTTTTTTTTCAAGACAGTTTTAGTTATTCTGGTTCTCTTGAATTTTCATGTGAACTTCAGGATCATCTTGTCAATTTCTACAAAGAAAACACATAGAATTTTGATGGATAGTACATGAATTTGTAAATTAATTCAGGGAATATTACCATTTGAAAAATATTGTTTTCTAATCCATGAATATAGGAGATCTTTCCATCTGTAAGATATTATATATTTAAAGGAAATGGCTTCATATTGTACATTTTTTTAAAGTTACTTTGTGGGATTGAACCGTAAAACTAATACGGGTTTATTACTATGAAGTTGAATAAAAATATGTGAATAAAGAAATTATTAGTCTTTCTCCACCAAAGTTTATTTACTCATTCAGTTTAATCAATTCATTCAGCAGATATTTATTGCCTGCTTCCTGTGTGTCAGGCACTGTCAGTGCAGGAAAGAAGAACACAGCAGCAAACAAGACAAGTCCTCGATGTCATGGAACATACATTTGTGGCATGGGGACAGTTGGGAGACAGAAACCAAATAAGTAGAGGTGTGTAGCATGTTAGAGGTAGTAGGTTTAATGTTAGGTAGGAATGAGTACTACTGAGAAAAATAAATCTGGAAGCAGTGAATGTGAGATTGGAAAGGCCTCTCTGAAGGAAGGCAGAGAGTGGAGTGAGCAAACCATGGGATACAAAAAACAGGAGGACTCCAGGCAGTAGAGGCTAGAATGAGGACAAGGGGGAGAGGAAGAGAAGGTTAGAGAGCCCACAGGGCAGGGCACAAGCTGGTCCTGTAGAGTTTTCCAGGCATTTCAGCAGAGGGCCTTGCACTTTGAATAATCTACAAGCCATTTCAGCAAAGAGTGGCATGATCTAACTTGTATTTTGAAGGATTACTCTGACTTCTTTATGAGAATAAATTTTGCCATGGTGCTGAGTGCCATGTGGTACATCTGTAATCCCAGTGGCTCAGGAGGCTGAGTCAGGAGGGTTACGAGTTCAAAGCCAGCCTCAGCAACAATGAGGCACTAAGCAACTTAGTGAGATCCTGTCTCTAAATAAAATACAAAATAGAGCTGGGGATGTGGCTCAGTGGCTTAGTGCCCCTGAGTTCAATTCTTAGTACCCTGCCCCCATCTCCCCCCAAAATAATTGGCATGGCAAGATGCTAATAAGAACAGAGGTAAGATAAAATAAGAACAGAGAACCAAGTAGAAAAGAGTCTATATAATAGGAAATAAGCATCCAAACAAGAGGTAATGGTGACCTGAACTAGATGGTGATGATGGAGGTGGTAAGAAATGATTGGATTATGGATACATACTGATGGCAAAGCCAACAAAAATTGCTGACAGATTGAATCTGGGGTTGAAGAGACGTTGGATTCAATGTATATGCTTTTATCCGGTGACACTACTATGTTATTTTAATGTTGATGTGTTTTCTCTAATTCAGTTATCTTAGTCTTCTAGATAAACCTTGAACCTTCAAGATATCTCAGAACTGGTTTTTTTCCTCAGTATTTTTCTCTTGGTAACTGGTTGGATTATCCTCTGGGCATTTCTTACATCCCTATAGATCATATTGCCTTAGCCCAGAAATCCCCATGATGTGGAATCTTTCTTGTTCCAGAAATTTCTTATCCAACAGTTTTCTCAATGGGAGCCCCTCCCTGGTTTCTGGCTGAGTTAGCTGCAGCCAGTGAGTGGGCCCCTGTCCAGCTCTCTGAGCAGTCTGTATGTTTCACGAGCAGCCCTCTTTTCCTATTCCTGAGTCTGTCAACACTGTCTCCAGCTTTATTTATTTGCTAACTCCCCATGGGCATATCTGTCGGGTAGACTCCTATTTTTTTCTCAGAGCAAATATCATATCTAAGTTTTACATTTACCTTATGATTATTCCTGTCCCAGACAGACATTATCCACAAAAGTATAAGACTGGATATTTTTCATCACCGTCTATATCTGACAACACAACTTTTTTAAATGAATTTTGAAATAATACCTGGTACCATACAGATCCAGAGAAGCCTAAACAACACGTCAAGTGCACACTGTGTTTTTCATGCCTGCTTCCTGCATTGGGAGCAGGAGGAGGCCAGGAGGAAATAATGAAGAAGCCAAGCCCTGTAATGCCCTGTATCCTTATAATCACAGCTACCCGCTAACCACTCTTCAAGGTCTTGTGTCTGTTTTCCAGTCTAGAGAGTGTTACCAGAAGATCTTAGAAATAAACCCCAAGCTTCAGACACAGATGAAAGGTGAGAATGCTCCTGCTGATACCCTTCCTTCTGATCTCATTTCCCTCTGTGCTCCTCCCAAGGGTGCCTTCCTACCGTCCCTGCCCTTGGCCATAAGGCCACAGCCTGGCCTTTTCTGTACTCCAGCCCTGTGTTAATAGGTCTGCTCTGCTCCTCTTCCTTCTGTTTGCTTGCCCCAATTTTTGCTTCCTTTTTTTCCTATGCTTTCCTCCTGTAGAGACTTCTAATCTTCTAAGTCCCCAAGATGAAATGTTTAAGATTCTTGGTGTAGACTTTACATTGTTATTAAAATTCTCTTGCTGAAGAAAAGTTTCAGTTATTTTCATGTGTTTGTGCTTCTCAGCCTCCCATATGGATGGAGGAAAAGAAGGAAAGGGAAGGAGGGAGGAAGAGATAGGGAGAGGAAGGAAAGGTGACTTCTTATGTGGTGTTGTTGATTGTTGGGGTTTTGTTTGAGTTTGGGTTTCTCCTGCTTGTTTTGCTAGAGCACCTGAACCAAGTACATCTTCAGGAGAAGGCAGACCTTCAAGAGCAGGAAGCCCATGAATTACTGGATTCAGGAAAGGACACAGCTGTGACAACCAAAAAACTCCTGGAATCCCTTTCCAAACCTGACCAGATGCCCTTGTTCTATGCAGGGGGGATGGAGATCCTGACGGAAATGATGAAGGACTGTAAGCCAGAGATGTGTTCTTTCTCATGCGTACTGTCAGTGTGAAGGGATAGGTTTTGGAGGTATGGCTTTATAAGGCAAAGAATCCCTCCGTCCCTTAAACAAATATTGATTGAAGATGTACTCTAATGTATGTACTAAAGGGGGTGCACAAAAAAACCCCACCCCTCTTCCATCCTCTCTTCAGACCATGCATATCCTCAGCACACAGACAGTAACCACCACACACAACAAAACATAAAACACATGCTTGACACGCACTCATTCCATTTGTATTTATATTATGTTCTCACACCGTACACACACACACACTCCACACATGTACACACACCATAAGTACTGGTATCAGTGTACATATTCTACACACAGCTAGTCCTCACATGTGTTCCACACACCCCACACATTCCTATGCCCACCCTAGACATTCTTTATGCACACAACCTCCTCCCTGTAGAGAAAGAAAAGGTAGAAGTTTGTAGGATAAACTGCCCCGTTCGCACCAGATACACTTAATGACTGCTTAGAATGTGAAGAGAGTTTCAGAGGAAGCATTGGCACTCCTTCTACTAATGAGAGCTGTGCTACTTCCTTTTACCAGCTCTTGTAAACATTGATGCCAGGGCTTAAACAATTTTTGTTACTTGTACAGAATGTTGCTTGCACAAATGGATGGCCATCCCTGGCTTGCCTTTGTGTACAATTCAGAGCACTCAAATACCCGCTCCAGCAGTTTTTTGGAGATTACAGGTTCCTCTCTAGAGCCAGGAAATCACTTCAGAATAAATATTTAAGAACAGATGGGAGTGCCAGTCCTTTACTGTGGTTAAGCAGCTCCCGGAGGCTCTCTCTAAGGATTGCAACCTGGTGAATTGTGCTGCTTACGCATGATGCCACCCCAGTTCCTTCTCTAGGTAGTCCCTCTGACTGCAGCACTGAGTGGCTGATGACAGTTACATTTTCGAAGTGTCGAGGTATTTGTTGCTGCCAAACTGTCGATTTGGTAACCTGGACCTGCCATATTAGGAGTTAGTGATCAGCTTGCTGTGCTGTGCTGGACACCAGATGGACAGTTCAGGAGCCTGATTGGGTTTCCTGTGAATTTGTCTCAGGCACAGAGCGAACTTTATTCAGAATACACGGTGGATTCCGCATCATCAGTGACAATGAAGTCATAAGAAGGTAGGGATGTTTGGGAAGATAACCCAGCATCAAAGCAAGGAAAGAACCATTTCTTGGGAATGACTACACATACAGTGATGGTACTGTGTCCCTGTCCTTCGTTCAGCAGTGGTGGCCCCTCCAGGATCCCAGAGCTCCCACACTAACACCCTTGAGGTTGGAACCTTAGGTCACTTGAGTCATGCTGCAGCTAGCAGTCGGAGAGGAGGAAGAGTAGAAGAGCTAGGGCTCCTCCAGGCACTTCAAAGTCAGAGAAAAGACCATTCTTGCTGGTTTCTCACCACTTTCTGCAAGATTGGTATCTGTTCTTTTCCTCTTTTAGAATTTACTAATCACATCAAGAAGTAGAATCAGCTGGGTCTTGGCCATCCATTTAGAATTTCATCAGAATAAATTACCAACTGGTAGGGGGTGATTTGCTGAACTTATTTGCATTTAACATTTCAGCTATTCTGGTATAATTCCTGAGGCTTAGGACCCTGACATGGGCTTGAGTTGCCAGCATGTGCCAGTATATTCAGACATCCCCACAGCCCCTGGCTTACCACCCACCCCCTGGGCAACCCTAACCTCCTCAGCCTATGTCCATGATCTGGATCATTGATGGCCAGTCCTTGATCCTGGTGACTTGTGGCACTGGATTTTACAAATTTTCTAAATTTGCATTTGGCAAATCTGGGAATGAAATAAAATCAAGTGAAAAGAAAATCAGGACTGATTTCTAAATTCTGTGTTGCTCTCTCTGTCCATTGTAGGTGCTTTTCCATGACAGGGAAAGATGTGGTTGAAGAGACGATCTGTGTGTCTGTTCTGAAGCTCTGGCAAGCAGTGTGCAGTGAGAATGGTAAGCCCAGATCACCATCGCTAATCACCGGCTCACCGCTGGTGATGTGCAAGTTGCAGGTTTGGCAGGATTGTCCCCCAGCTCCAGAAGGCCAGGCCTAAGAGAATTGGTGTAGACCTTCACACACACCCCTCCCCACAAAATCATGTGGATCAGAAGCAGGGTCTGCTTTGCAGCTTTGTCTGTAGCATCCTGCCTGCACACTCCTCCCAACCTTGGGAGAGCTGCGCAAAGGATGGTGGGCCAGGTCACTGTCTGCATAAGGAGTGGTCACCTCACCTGGCTCCCTCTCCCCTCTTTGCAAGCCATGACTACTTCTCATGTGCTGTCCATGGGATGGACAGTGTTTCCTTTCTTGTCTGCCTAAAAATGTTATTTCATTTTGCTGCCATCGTACCACTTTCAGTATCTTGAGATGTACCATGTGGACCGGCCAGCATCTGCACACACTGATAGTGTTGAATACTGAGACAATAAAATGGTGTGGACATTTTACTTTCCAAGTCAGCTCTTACCTTTCTTCATGCTAGTATCTTCTGGAGTTCATTAAGTTCATATATAATCTTTCTTAATTACCTTTCTAACTTCAATGTCAATAAAGGTTTTAAATATTTCCCTCATTTTTAAGAAGTGTTTCATGGAAGAAGGTATGACCTTGGACATGAAACAGTAAAAATGGGGATAATGATAGTTGCATCTCCTTTTCTCAGTGCTATTTGGTGAGCCATTAATAGATCTTATGAGTGCAGAATATCCTATAAATGCTGACTGTGGGATAATATATTTCCTCCTTGAGTTAATAGAGTGGACTCTTCACAAGAACTTAAGAAAAAAAATTCTAGTAAACTAGACAATCAGGGAAACTAGTTCCTAAAACACTTTCTACCCAGAGGAATCATCTAGGTGCCTTGCTCTTCTGCGTTAAGACCCCACTTGGCTTAGGGTTGTGTGTTTGCAAAGGCACCTGCAGGGGTGTGAGCAAGGCAGGGCTTGGTGCTGGTGTATTCTCTGTGTGAATCTGAAATAGCAACACTTTTACTTTGGTATCTGTGAACCTTGGAGCTACATTTTTTAACATCTGAAAAATATTGTCAGACACAGCCTCAGATGAACATGTAAGTATCTCAGATCCATGAAATATTGATAAATCTAACCCAATAAATACAGAGAAATTTTTAAAATGGGAAATGAAACACTTAAAAATGAGAACATGAAAATATGTTGGTGACATATTGTTGAGTGGGGAAGAGAAGCCAACTACAGATAGGATGCGTAGTATTTTTTAAAAATATTTATTTTTGTAGTTGTAATTGAACACAATAACTATTTATTTATATGTGGTGCTGAGGATCGAACCCAGGACCTTGCACTTGCGAGGTGAGGGCTCTACCGCTGAGCCATAACCCCAGCCCCAATGAGTAATATTTTTAACATTATTCTTGTGAGAGTGAATAATAGCTCCTTATAAAATAGGCTTACCTGAAGGGGGCACTGAGGAAAGGGACTTTCATTTTCAGCTTTATACTACTTCTGTGTTCTTTAAATGACTTACAACAAGCTACTTTTCCAGTATAAGAAAAAAAAAATTGTAAACTAAACAAACCAATAGAATCTTTCCATTTTGAAGATCAGTAGATCCTATTTTACATAGACAGGTGAACTGTAGGATTAAAATTTAATGTTTGAACGAAAACATGGTAGCTTGATGGGTAGGCTGAAAGTCAGATCCTATGCTTCTGCATCTGGCTCTTTTAGACCCTGAAGAGCCCTGGTGTGTCCTCTTCTTGAATGCTGTGTGCCACGTATAAATGGGCAGTTAACACGGTAGGGAGGAGAGCCCAGGTTAATGAGGCATAGCAATGGGTCTCATCCTGCTGAGATCCAATTTGCTGTGCCCTGTTTTGTACCTCAGTCTCATACTCCTGTCTGTTCCTCTCTGTACTCAGACAAATTCAAATACCTGGTCAAGCGTAAGGAGCTAAATCTATGCCACTACTCTGAAATAGCTCATAGTCTAGGAGGAGGGCATGCTTTATTAATTAACTTATGTGACATTCCAGTTTCTGAGAGAGAACTCAAATGTTTACTCTGGCTGTTATATGAAGATTGATGATCTAATGATATTCCACAGTTAAGCATGTGTCTTACCTGTGCCTCCCATTTCCAGATACTATATACCAAGGAACCTTTTGACAATAATGGTAGCCATTGAGTGTGTGCCATTCTGGCCTGATCAGATATTGACTCATTAAATCCTACTAACAGCTCTAGGAGGCAAGTCATTGCCCTCATCTTATCAATAAGGAAACTGAGGGACATAGGAGTTGACAGTTGGCTAAGGTTGCTCCCTGTTCGTTCAGACCCAGCAGTCTGGCTCTTGAGGCTTGTTCTGACACATCATTATCCTGCCTCTCAAATGAATAGATAAGAATTGATTTCCCATTGGGAGGGTAGGAGATAAAACAGGCTTACCTGCCATCATGGCATGAACCAAGCAGATAACCCCTATGTTTTGCAGATGAAAACCAGCGTCTGCTTATGATGCACCCAGATTGGGCCAGGCTGGTGCCCTCCCTCTTGGCATCCAGAGTCCTTGCCATCCAACAGGAGAGCCTGGCACTACTGGTACAGCTTGCCCAGACAGACAATGGACGGAGCCTGGTCATCAGCCACCTTGACCTGACCCGGTAAGACTCTGCTAAGGGGTCTTGATGGTGGCATCTCAGGTCACCACTCACTAGACAAATGGAGAGGGGCCTGCCTCAGCTCCTTACGCTGCTGTTGTGTATGGACTGCTGTCAGGCTTCCTGAAGGGTCAGTAGCAGAAAGAGCCTTTGAAAGTAATGCTGTGTCCCAAACAGCTCTGGGATAAGTTCCTGTCTGAATTCAGTACTGTTTTAGTCAGCTCTTTCACCCCTGAGACCAAAAGACCCAACGAGAACAATTAGAGGATGTAAAGTATTTGGTGCTCATAGTCACAGAAGTCTTAGTCCATAGATGGCCGGCTCCTTAGCTCTGCATCCAAGGTGAGGCAGAACATCATGATGGAAGAGTGTAAAGAAGGAAGGCAACCCAGGATAGAGCCACCAGGAAGCAGAGAGAGACTGCTCCCCTTACCATGGACAAGCTAAATGTAAACCCCCCAGGGCACACCCCCAGTGACCCACCTCCTCTAGCCACACCCTACCTGCCTACAGTTACCACTCAGTTAATTCCTATTGGGGAATTAATATACTGATTAGATTAAGGCTCTGTAACCCAATCATTCCACCTTTAAACTTTCCTGCATTGTCATATACATGAGCTTCTGGAGACACTTCTTATCTAAACCATAACAGTTCACTGTCCCCACACAACTGAAGTGTCTCCATCTCACAGATATTGTAGATGATGTCAGTGGTGGCACTTCTAAAGCCAAATCTGGAGCTCTGCTTTGAAAAGGGTCACTTGGTTCTGCTCTTTTAACCTCAGGCCTGGCCCTATCCTGTTCTTGCCCTTACCTTTTCTCTTTCTTTCCTGTTTGAAGCAATGCCACCTCATTTTGTACCCCTTTCTGAAAAGAAGGTAGAGTATAAATTAATAAAACAAATGCTTTTCCAAGAAAAGCTTTTAAGGTTGAATCACATAAGAATAGAATGTCCCTCTTTTCCAAGACTTCCCTAAAAAATTACCTGAACCACAGTGACTGTGCTCAGTACTTTTCAGTTTTCTTTAATCATTTTGTTTATTTTATTAGAGTATTTATTTTTTATTAATTTTCAGTTTATTTATCTTTAGGTTGTTGATTCAAACATAGGAAATTGCCATTTTTTTATATCAGAAAGGATGCATGTCAGCCATATCATGTGGCTCAGCCTAAGGGAAAGAGTAGCAATGACTACAGCCTGCTCTGTAAGCATTTCAGATATAACCTAAAACTAGTAGTTAGCCTTCCAGTTTTCTCACTAGTATTTCTTTTTATCTCTCCTGTCCTGAGATGCAGGCAACAGTGTTATTAATCCATTTCACAGATGGAGCAGGAAAAGCTACAGCAAGTGCCAAGGGAAACTTACCCTCCTCTCTTCCACATGTTGTTCCTTGGCACCTGGTTTCTGCCCTTTGGTCCCAATTGGAAGAAAAAAGGAGCCAAATCTGCAGCCCTGTTGGCACCTGTCCCATCCTGAGGAGGTTCATTGTGTGCTAAGGACAGGGTGGTCAGTAAACCCCAGCTGTGGCCCTCTCTGTCTCCCCATCATCATCTAGTTGCTGCCACAGTGCCCCCCAGCATGTCTTTGGTGGCCCCTAAAAGCTCAGTCCATCTGGTGGGTGGACTGTCAGTGGAATTAAATTCTCCAAAAGCACATTTTATTTTTCAAATGAATCTGCGGTTATTTTCTTGGTACCCTCATCGTGTTTTTTTTTTTTTTTTCCATTTGGTTTTTGTCTCTTTGAGTAAATATAGCTATAGTTATCATAAATGTTTCTCCCTCAAGCTATCTTTGAATTGCTTGAGTCTCAATTTGCATTTTTCCAGTGTCTTGGAGAGTGGCATTTACAATCACCTCATGCAGTTCTGCCCACACTCTTTAGACTGAGAAAGCTCAGCTTATTACTTTTTTGCCCACTAGTCTTGCTAATGTCCATCTTCAATTAAACCAGAAGGAGATACAATGGATTCTCCACCATGAAATTAAGTGGGCAGAAGCAGGACAGGGCAGCACACAGTCCCACGACTCTCACCGAGGCACACATAATTACATTCCTCCCAAAATGCTTCCCCTCATACGTGAGACTGAGGGAGTCAATGTTCACTGATGAGAACTGGCCAAGGGTCATTGTCACTTTGTAGACAGGGCTGGGTTTTTAGACTCAAGCAGTTCCGAGCTTAAATCTTCTGCTTGTCTCTTTCTAATTATATGACCAGAGAAGTTACTCAGCCCTGATGGGCCAGAGCATCTCATCTGCAACTGAAACTTACAATAACATTTAAGAGGGATGATATATCTGTGTTGGTTAAAGTTTTTTTCTGCAGCATCGAAGGAATGCTCAACCAAAAAGAGCTTCAACAAAATAGAGCCTTGCTTACTTTTTTCCTCACAAAACAAGGAAAGACTAAGCATAGTAACCTATGACTTAAAATATGACTTAAAGATGTTGAAGTCCAAGTCTCTGTGCTCTAACCTTTCCCCCTGGGCACTCCCCACTTGCTGTAGCCTGTCTTCCTTTTCTAAAACAGATCAGCCAGATCCATTCTTTTTATTAAGAAAAGCACTGTTTATTTATGTATGTTCGAACAAAATTCTGTCACATGCCACCCCTGGTAGGGAAAATGGCCCCAGCTTCTATGTTGGGTCAGGCAGAGCGGCAGGGAGTGGGACTGTGAGGCGTTAGGAGCAAACAGCCTTTAGCATCATGCCTGGACTTGGCGTGGATGCAGCTTACTTCTGTCATCATTTTTTTTTTCTCTTCAGGGTCCTAAACTGAGGTGGTAGTGCCTTTACAGGTTGCTTGAGACCTTTCTCTGACCTGTGTGGTGCGTCCACAGGGACAGCTGCCTATCAACAGAGCAGAAAATCTGCCTCTGAGCGAGAGGGGATGAGAGGAGCTAGAAGGGGACACATTGTCTTCTCTAGTAATGACTGCACTCAGCATGAGTACTCTGTCACATGGTGAGGGCGCCAACTTGTGTATATCTCCCAAGACAAAACCAAAATGATCTTAGACTGTTGTCTCATCCTCTCTGCTGTTCAGGTTCATCAGCATTCATCTTTAAGACCAAGAAAACAGATTTAAATTGGTGGAGAAGGAATCTGACCTAACTTTAAAACAAATCATCTGACAGCAGGAACACTGGAGTAGACTCCTGAGGAAGTGAGGAATTTGCAGAAGCTTGGCATTCCCTTGACCTTGGTGACAAACCAACCTGACCTGCCCAGCCTAGATGTCCCTCTGTGGCATCCCAGCACACCTGTGCATGATCCCCAGGGAAGAGCCAGCATTTTCAGTTGATTGAGATGGGAACTAACACAGCTAACAGACTGCAAGTCTTTCCCCATCTAGTGAGGACGTGGAGCTCACCTCCCAGGGCAGCCTGTCCACTTCCAACCTAGGTCTAGAAGTCATTCCCTTACACCGAACACAAACTGCTGCCCCGTAGCATTCTGGGCTGAAGCCAAGTCCAGACTCGGAAGGCCTAGAGAAGGCTTCAGATCCTTCTGCTTTCCAGTGCCTTAGGTGTAGGAAGACACCAGCCTTTTATAGGTTAAGCACCCTGGCTTCCTCATGTGATTTGGCTTCCATGCCTCTCCTGGAAGATCTCCTAGGTAGGCAGATCTCATACCCTAAGAGTGAGTGACTAGATGCCACATCCCCAACTGCCCATTCTCATGGGCTCTTTCCTGTCTTTCCCTCACTTGGCTGCCCTGTGCCATCGGATCCTCTTGACCCTACCCTTCTCGAAACTCCACAACCACTACTGTCAGGACATCCCCCTTCCTGGCCCACCTGCTCACTCCTGGATTCACCTCCTTGTCTTCTTTCATCAGTCCCTTTATGCTCTCCCTTCTAAGTCGGAGACTCCAGAATCCTACCCATGGTCCTCATTTCAACTGTGGCCTTGATTAAGAGACAGTCTGAGTCCCTCTCTCAAGTACTGGATAACAACACCCTTCTACCACTGGATATCTCTAATTCAGTGCCCATGAGTGCCATAAACTTAATAAATCAAAGTGTGGTTCTTCAGTCCAGACCTCTGCCTGAACTTCCTGTCTTTGCAGAGGACCTTCTATCCATCCAGTTGCCTAAACCAGAATCCTGGAGGTGACTGGATCCCCCTTTACCACATCCATAAGACAGTATGTTTCCATTCTTGCTCCTGTTTTCATTCTATTTCTCCTCCATCTCTTAGTCATTCCTTCTCAGTCTTTACAAGTACCTCCTTTTTGATGGTACCGCTTCCCCTGTAGCTGCGACAGTTGGTCTCTTCACTTTTATTATCTGGACAATCAGTTTTCCCTGGTTAGATTCCCTGCTTCCCATCCCACATGCTCTAATCTGGCTTCTGCCCTGTCAACAAAAGGATTATTTTAAAAAACATACACATCAGGCTGAGTGGGTGGTGTACACCGATAATCCCAGCAGGAGGCTGAGGCAGGAGGATTGCGAGTTCAAAGCCAACCTCAGCAATTCAGCAAGTCCCTAAGCAACTCAGTGAGACCCTGTCTCTAAATAAAATACAAAAAGGGATAGTGATATGGCTTAGTGGTTAAGTTCCCCCTGGGTTCCATTCCCGTTACCAAAAACAAAACAACAACAACAAAAAAAACACACATCTGTCCTGTTATTTTCCTACTTAAAATGCTGCAAAATGACTCTCTGTTGCCTATATGACTGTTTCTTCAACTCCCAAGATACAGTGATTGTGAGTCACCTGAGTACTTGATTAAAAATGCAGCATCCTGGAGTCTTCTCCCACACAGAGGCTGAGAGTGGCCTGGGAATCCTTGCTACTCCTCTGTGACCACACTAAGCATGTCTTCCAACTCTACTTTGGAGAACACAGGCCTCTAGAGTTGTGAAAACTTTCCAGCAGACCACAGAGGGCCGCCATGATCTGGGTCTGTCTAGCTCTCTTGCCTCACTGTCCCTGTCTTCCCCTCCTACTCTAAGCACTAATTATAAGAAGCTTCTACTAGTACCCAAACTTGCCTCAGGGTACTTTGCCTGACATGCTGTTTTCTTGTCCCCATATGCCCAGTGCTGGCCTGCAAGCTCCCTGGACACTGTCTAGGGCTGAGCCAGGTCACAGTCTTGTTTTATTGTTATGGCCCCAGAACCTGCCACATTGCCTGATATGGTCAGTGCTCATTCAGTGTTGTTGACTGAATGGATTAAGGAATGAATAGGTAATGCTACTCTCTCAAGAGACACTGAAATGTCATCTGCTGTTGAGGCCCTCCTCATTGCCATCATCCACGCCTCCTGCCAGGTAGACTCTTGAGTCTTCAACATGTGTCTGTTTCTAACACACCATCTAACACACAACTTCTCTTCCTTATTTATTTGCATGTGTTTCACTGTGGGGAACCGGAGGTCAGTGCTGAGCACAGTACTAAGCACAGTGTAGATGCCCAGTACAGGTTTGCACCATTATTCTGGTGCCAGTACATCCATTTGGACAGTGTGAGAATTCAGTAGCATTTTTGGCAGCTGCTCCAGACTGCTTGGCCAGACTGTGTTTGTAGTAGACTAAAATCCCTTAGCCCTTTTCTGTGTGAACCAGTTATAATGCAGGTCTCCCAATGCTGTTACTACACAGAATCTCCAGCTCTCAGTAGAGGAGTCTGAGCTTAATCCTATCAAATTTTATCTGATGTGTTCAGCAGCCTGTCAAGATCTTGTTAAATCCTTATTCCATCATCTGCCTTATTAGGGGGCCTCCCACGTTAGTCATCAGCATATTAGTAAGCGTGCCATTTAGATGTCATCTAAGTTAATGAACTTGACTGAGCCAGAATCACAGAGCAGAGCCCCAGAGACTCCTTCCCAAGCTGGTGTCTGGTGATCTGTAAACTTTAGGTAACACTATTCAACCCCAGGGAATTCATTTTAAGTGGTAGAGCCATGGAAGGACAGTGTCTGTCTCTCTGAGGCAGGTCTGGAGCTGGGCGTCCTGGCGAGGCATGGCTAGGCCACCCTTTCAGCTTCTCTCACCAGGCTCCCAACTCCTTCCTGAACTCCTTGCCCGGTCACCTTGTTGGGGAGGCTGGTAGTTGGAGGACAGCCCCCTCTGAGGCTTTTTATGGGTTTTTGCAGATTATTGGAAGCCCTGCTGTCATTTCTTGATTTCTTAGATAAGAAGGCCTACACTGCCATGGGACTGCTCACAGACTTGGCTCTGGATGAAAGGTAACTTTTTTAGTTCCAGAAACTGATAATTCTTCTGCCTGTGTTGAACTGTCATTTTCTTGCCATGTGCAGTATACAGATAGGCTAGCCATGTCTGACCGAGCATCACAAGGTTTGCTGAATAGGAGGGCCAGTGCCTTCCAGAGGCTGTGGTTTTTCACTCCCATCTCAGTCTCTCTTCAGGGAAGGTCAGTATTCAGTGGGTTTGGGTGCAGTAAGTAACATGCAGTTGGCCCTTGATACCTGTGAGTTCTACATCTGTAGATTCAATGAACCAGAGATCAGAAATGTTGGAAAACATGTGTCTGTACTGAACATATACATATTTTCTTCTTGTCATTCCCTAAACAATAGAGTATAACAACTATTTATACAGCATTCACATTGTATGAGGTGCTGTAAGCTAAAGATGATTTGAGGAATACAAGAGAATATGTGTAGGTTATATGCTACATTTTATATAAGGGACTTGAGCATCTTTGAATTTTGATATACACGTGGGTCCTGGTACCAATCTCTCACAGATATAGGAGGGTGGCTGCTTAGAACAGTGCCTGTCACAGTAAGTGCACCTGCAAAGTGTCAGGGAAGCTTCTTCCCCTTAGTGCCTGGTGCACAGTAACTGCCCAGCACATCTGTATGGAATGAACATGAATGAGCAAGCAGGCAAGAATGAGTGTAAGGTGCAGCCTCCCCTTGGGTTGCCAGTGATGTTATGAGTAAACTCTTCCTTCTGCCTGTTTTTTGTATTTTTCTTTTGATTAGCACTTGGAGTGAATAATAGTAAAAATCTTATTTTTCTCATTCTTAAGATTTTTTTTTAAAAAATCACTGATCTTGCCTAGAAATGGTCATGTGATTGAGAACTGCTGGTGCTTATAGACAAGCCAGGCATCTGGCCCAAGCCTGGAGTGTGGTGTGCTCTAGCACATAGACACATGTATGCATCTGGGCCCCTCCCGGTGGCTGTGACAAGTCAATGTGCTTACATTGTATTTCCCATCTGCACAGCACACATATGACCTATAGACTCAGGGTGCAGAGTCAACTCGCCAGAGGCCCGGGAATTCTACTCAGAAGATCTGCCATCTGAAGTCTGGTGTTTGACGTCAAAGACAATTCTCTAGACTTAGAAAAACTAAAGCCATATTTCATACTCAATGACCTTTTTGGGGGCCAAGGCTCAGAGTGAATTCTTCATGCATGCTATAAATCACAGGAGCCCAGTGGATAACCCAAAATGTTGTATTTTATAGCTTGTGCCATGTAGAAGTAATGCTGGCTGCTATTCTCTCAACAGATTCCAAGTCCGGTTCCAGGCCAACCTTCCAGGTGCTCTTCCGGCACTCATAGGTGTTCTGGTGAGCAAACCCTCATTTCTAGCCTCCATGGCAGGCACCCAGGAGTTGAACAGAGCTGTTTAAACACAGTTTGTACCCTGGAACCACTCTGTCTCTCAGATTGATTAAACATTATTCCCAGCTGCAATTTATACAGAAGTGTCAGTTATTAAAACAACTTCAGACTGGACAGGTAGAGGTGGCATGTGATCAGGGTCGGTCACAGAGGAGAAAAAACTGCAAGTGGACTGCAGCTTAGGTAACAATGGTGGTGGGGGGTGTCAGTCTTCATCAGTCCCCTCCTGGCATAAAGTCTTATCTTCAGGAAAACCTGCACCTGTCCCCTGAAAGGAAATCATCTCTTTCAGGAGGACAAGGTAACAGTTGGAGCTGATCAGGCAGAGGACAGTAAGGGTCCACCATGGAGAGCAAGTTGTACCCAGATAGTCATGAAGCTTCAGGGTCCTCCAGGGGTGTAATCCTACCCCAGAGTTTTTCAGCTGTGGGAATGGAGAAGCGGAGGGATTTGCCCAGGTCCTCCCAGCTGGTTCATGGGAGGGACAAAGCCCTCCTAGGCTTCACTGTGTTGCCAGGGTGACCCCAATTGATGTCCCCGTGTGGCATTAAGCTCTGAGTCCCAGCCTTTTGCTGAGTGAGGGCTGCTCCTAGCAGACATTTGCCTGCTCTCTGAGGCCTCGCTTTCTCTTGCTTTACTTTAGAAGAGGGATCCCAAGGTAACTAATGCCTCAGCTCTCTGCCAATGCATTGCCATCATGGGGAACCTCAGTGCTGAGCCTGCCACCCGGAAGCACATGGCAGCCTGTGAAGACTTTGGGGATGCCTGCTTGGGATTCCTGGTATTTTGGCTTTTCTATTCAAAGCTGGAAGTTTATCTTTTTAGATGAGCATTATCTCCTTTTTAATTATCTTTCAAAAATTCTGTTTCTCAAGGTGTAGGAGCCACTAGTTATTAGTCCCTCTGTAACCATAGATTTTATGGACTGCTAGACTTAAAGGCCTCTCCAGATCAAGTCTCAGCCACCCTGTCAATATTTATAGGATTTCCTGGTAGAACCGACTTGATCATTCATTTCAGCAGTCACTCTTCATTTTAAACCTAGGGACAGGCCCAGCCAGAGAGCCTTGACAGAGGACCAGAGACACCTTCCACAGCTCCTGGATTAATGTGAACTCACAGAACTGGTCTCTGGGCTTCCACCATCACTTAAATTCATGACATTGACAATTTCAAGTATCTTTGAGACTCTGTCTAAGGGAAGAGATGACCATGAAAAGCTGTCAAGCAGCAAGGTCATTGTTTACCTTGTTTTGTTTCCAAGGCCAGGTGTGAGGAGGACCTGGACCTATTCAGAGAGATCACATACACACTCTTGGGACTCATCATGAACCTGTGTCTTCAGGTCCCATTTGTCTCAGAGGTATGGCCTTCTTATCTCCCTCCCTGGGCCCTGGAACAGCCTAAACTCATCCTGTTGCATAGAACCATTCACATTTTCAAAGACAACCAAGGCATACAGACTTGAATGCTAGTAGTGGGAATGTGGAGGGCTGGAGGGAAGCTGTCACGCTCCTCTGCTGAGGGCAAGATAAGTTGCTCAGTTACACGTTCATTCAGAAAGCTTCTTGTGTGCCCAGGGTGCAGAGAAGAATACAAATTCAAATAAAGTATGGCCCCTGTTGTCAAATCATTGCCCAGAGTTAAGGAAGGAAGAAGAGCAATGAAAGACATTATGGGGGACATCTGCACAGCATGTGGTGGCGGGGAGAAGGGAGTCATTTCTGTTTGATTGCTCAGAAGCAACTCTACAGAGGATTCCAATGATCAGGGTGTTCAACTCTCCTTCTCCCCTCTCACCGTGCTTGTAGGTTTGGGCTATGGAGGTGAGCAGAAGGTGCCTGACTCTACTGAATTGCCAGGATGGAGGAATCCTAACAGTAAGTTCTCCAGGGAGTCCAGAAGCGGCTTCCTTGCTCTTGTTCTTGTTCTACTTTGCTGTCAGTGCATCTCAACCTTCTTGCCGTCACCACCTTTGAGAATTTGGTTCCTCTCTGAGGTATGGAGTAGATGTGCACCTCTGAATGATACCCACAAACACACAAATGCTGAATTTTGCCTACAGTTTGGGATATTTGGTGACCTGCTTTCAGAGTGCATCTGTAGACCCCCTGTAGTCCATGAACCAAAAATAAGAATACATTTTCTGTATATTCTGGAATCTAACCAGATAATATATATAATCTTACCCTGTTTATCATATTTCAAGAGATCATGTGCAGACCAGACAGGCCCAAAGGATTTTATTTACAATCCCTTTCTTCCATCATTGAGAAAAACATGTTTGAAGCCACAGATCTTAGAGTTTGTTTATGCTTAATGGTTTGGACCCTTTGGGAACACATGCTAGAAAGGCTTTCTGTGTCCTGCCATTTGGCCAAGATGGAGAAGGCTTATGTTAGCACAGGGCATCAGGAGAAGAATATTAAGAGGTGATTTAAGAGGTACTCGCCATCATCCTAGAGCATGTTCTTCTCTTACGTTAGAAAGATTCAGCCCTGTTTTCCTACCTGTTAGGGCAGGACCTAAAACTTAGAGCAAAAGTCAGGTTCATACTCAAGGCAAGTCTGGGAAACTAGCCCTTCAAGGATTGTAGGCTGGTGAATGGCTCCAGGGTTTAAAAATGGTTCTCCTACAAAGATCCAACCTACTTTGTTTAGGGCAAGTACTCGCAGCAACCTGAACTCCATGAAAGTGTGGTGGGTCTTCAGGTTCCCTGGACCCTGGGAAATTGTGTAGATTCCAAGTGTATGTGCATTTTTATAAGAGGGACATACATTTTATAAGAGGGGCCTCAGAAGAGGCCCATGACCCGCCTCAAAGTGGTCAGTACCACTATTCTCAAGTGCCTGGGGCTTTTCTGTGTGATTCAGACCTAAAACTGGGTCTGTGTCCTCAGGGAAGCTCTTGGGTCAGATTTTCCTATAATTCATGCATGTCCCAGTTGGGTGCTTCCCAGCTTGCTGCTCAGGGCAGCAGCTTCATCCTGGGAATCTGGTCCTTGGATAGTGCATATTGTCCACTGTTTTAAGCCTTAGAACTTAAGTCTTGTACTTTTTTCTCTAATAAATTGGAAGTCCAGTGAAAACTGAGGTCTTTGTAGTATTGAAGGGTGCCCTGTCTCTGCCTTCCTGTCAACAAACTTCTCATGAACACAGCACGCCCACACACACCTTTATTGCTTTTTTTCATAAATGTGATTGGGCATCTAAGGTCATCAGACATTTTAGGAAAAGCACACACAAATAGAAAAACAAAGATAAACAGAAAAAAATGACCCCAGAGAAAGAAAGATATATAGGAAATAGAAGAAAATAGCAGTGACTATCAGTTTCATCCTGAGAAAGATTTAAGGTGGTTATACCCATAAGACAATAACTACTTGATATTATTTTTAAAAAGCCACGCGAGCTGGGAAATGAAGTAAATTAAATCTCCCAGAAAGTAGGACAAAAAGACAAAGATTCAGAAAGATAAGGATAAATGAAAACTCAAAAGAGAGGATCGATCCAGAAAGCAGAACCTCTCCTAATGAGGGCCCTGCTGGTGTGGAGCTCTGGGAGGGACCAGGGAGGGCTTTCCTTCTCAGAGTTGAGCTGGTCCATCCTGGGTAAAGCTGAAGTCAGCGGGGCCTCTGTGGTCCAGGGGGCAGTGTTTGAACTGCCTACCTCGCAGCTTCATTAACAATAACCATGCTTGCCACGCGTGACTTGGCCATTACATTGTTTAAAACTCCAGGTGCGTGTTCTGCTTCTGATACTAATGATTGCTTTTGCCTTGCCAAACTTCTTGTTAACTTTTAAAGGTCGTCAGCATTTCTGAAACAGACATTTAATCATTCTCTTTCTGTTTCACACAGAGAGCTGCTGGTGTTCTAAGCCGGACCCTTTCTTCCTCTCTGAACATCATCGAGGAGGCTGTGAGAACAGGAGTGGTGAAGAAAATGATTAAATTCCTGAAGGTAAAATGGCCTCACGGTCACAACCTCTAAGATTTCCAGGCGTGTTATTTTACTCAGGGAGCAGAATGAAGGTGGGCTTTGTTCAGTAATGTGCCCCTGTGCCATCCCTGCTAGATTTTAAACTTCCAGAATGGGGATTCTCTTCAGCTTGTCCACCCAGACAATGCTCTGAACATCAGCAAAAGAATAAGTAAATTGCTCTTCAGAGGCATCCAGAAAAAAACTGCTTACCCTTCAAGCCTAACTTCAAATTGTGTGGCCTCTGTCCTTTAATGAGACAACTTGAATGGCTTTTTGTAAGGTTTTCAGGCCAATTATTTTATTCATGGGCTCATGATGCTTTAAATAGTTATCTGGAGATTGCTGGATGTAACTCCATTTATGAGACATGGAGGCTGTAGAGTCACCATGTGACCAGAGGATGTGGGAATTTCCCTCTGAAATGAGTGCAGTGGAGCCAAACAAGCAACTGGTTCACCTGAAAGGGCAAAGTGCATTATTAGGCTGCTGTGTCTGGATCCCACCTGCACGTGTCCAGTGAGGCCCAGGCACGTTAGCACAGCAACACTAAACTCCAGGCTGAGGGGGCAGGAGGTATGGAGAGGGCAGGATGGTGGGTCTCAGTTGTGGCTGCCCCTTGGACGATGATGTCATTCCCTCTAAACAACCTCTGTAGCCCGGCAGAGGCTGCAGATCCCAAGTTCACACAGCAAATTGTACGTGCACACATGCATTTTAAAAACCCTGCCTTAGGTAGTTTTAAGGGTTATGATTTGATATTTGTCACCTCTTACGATGATCCAAGTTCATGATGTTCTCTACAACGAATGTCAGCTTCATTCTCAAAAGGTGAAAGGACACAGGAGGGCCTTTACCTCTCCTTCTTGGTAGATCTGCCTATCAACTGTATCATTCTCCTCTCAGCCACTTGCTCAAAGCCTTCTAGAGCTGTCAGGTATACGTGACAGGCCTACGTTCTTGCCTGAAGTATGGGCTATTAGAAGGGTATGTGAGTGACAGTCTCTCCCCGCTCACCAAGAAGCACATGTATTCTCAGTGGAATTTCTCTTAGAAGCTCAGGAGGCCACTAGCTCTACTGTGACTTCTTCCTGTGCTTTCTGGTCAAGAATTATCATAGATTGATTTTACTTTTTAATTTCATCCTGAAATCTAGACAGGAGGCCAGACTGCATCACATCATGCTATAAAGACACTGGCTATCTGCACAAATAGTTATCACGAAGCGCGGAAAGAAGTGATAAGACTCGATAAAAGTAAGTGAGGATTTCATCAAGGCACCCATATCCCAGAGGTTCCTCCACCTTGAGGCTGTAGAGGGAACTGTGGCCATCTGCAATATTGGCATAACAAGATGTCAGTTCACCTCCAAATAGGAAAGAATTTCATTAGCCTCTTGGCTGTGCACAGGTAGAGTGCCCAGGGAGGAGGCCCAGCTGAAAGACCACTCCAAGGTAACAGGGTGGATTCTGGGAAACCTTCTCCTCTGCCCAAGTTAAACTGAAATGGTTTCTAAGTCTGCTTAAACTGACCCAGCACCAGCTTTCTTCCTTCACAGAGGGAGGGGAAATGAAAACAAACCATTTTCAACCTTTATTGATGAAGGGAAGTAACAGAGTCTGAGCCTAACACCACAGGTGACTGATGAAGGGATGGGAACCCAGAGGGAAGATACAGGAGGTGGGCACATTGCCTCCCGCTCAGGCTGCCAAGTGGGACTGTCACGGTTATGGGGCGTGGAGGGACTTTGGAGAAAGCATACCTGCCTGGCATACTCAGCTCATTCACACAGCAACTGTGTTGTGCTGGGTGCTGTTCTAGGCACCTGACATACCACAGGGACACCAGGAGGAGTTGAGGAGGTTGTAGCACTCAGTGGACATTTTCTGAGTGTGAGGGAGCCCATTCTTCCCAGGGTTTCTGGGGAAGCTCAGCATCCACCATTGCCTCCCTGCCCCTCCCCCCCCCCCCGCATGTTCCATTGCCAGGCTCCTTTTAGGGGATCCAGAGGAACTTGTTCCTTGTTACTTGTTCTCATCTTTCCCTGTAGAGTTCAGCATTCTGATGAAGCTGCTCAGCTCGGACGACGAGATTCTGGTGGGCAATGCTGCCCTCTGCCTTGGCAACTGCATGGAGGTACCCAAGGTTGCGTCTTCTCTGCTGAAGACAGACCTGGTGCTGGTCCTATTAAAGCTGGCTGGTAGCGACTCGCAGAATTCAGCGGTGCAGCTGAATGCAGGCATTGCTCTGGGGAAGCTGTGTACAGCTGAGCCCAGGTACACTATGGCCACCACCGAGCCAGGCCATCCCAAATGCTGGTGACATTTCAGAAAGAGTGGGCCAAGCCAAGCACTGTTTTGCAAGGGACCACATGCCATATGGAGTTCTGTTGGGAACCCTCATGCCTTCTGCCTGGGCCTCTGTGGGGCCTGGCAGTTTCTTCCCTGCAGGAAGTCTTCCTCAAAGGAACTGGGGAACACTCAGCTTCCAACTCAAGAGGCATTGGTCCCACAGACTTATAGCCATTGTCTTTTTGCCCCTCATTCTCTCCATCCTTCTCTCCTTTACTTGCCCCCATTCTTCCTCTCTTTCTCACACCATCTCTCCTCCTCTCTCACTCTCTATAAGTCAGCTTTTCATCACAGTGACAAAATACCTGAGAAAATCAACTTAAAAGGAGTAAAGATTTGTTTGGCTCACAATTTCAGAGGTTTCAGTTCTTGCTCACTTGGCCCTGTGGCTTTGGGCCCATGGTGGCACAGTATATCATAGTGGGAACATTTGGCAGAGAAGGACTGTTTACCTCATGGTGGCGAGGAAGCAAAGATAGACAGGATGGGACTGGAGTCCCAATGTCACCTTCAAGGGCATCCTCATAGTGACCTAACTTCCTTCCATTAGCTCCACTTTCTAAAGATTCCACCACCTCCAGTAGCACCAGACTGGAACCAAGCCTCTTAGAACATGGGCCTTTGGGGGACATATCAGGTCCAAGCTGTAGGACTAAGGATGCTCTTCAATTGGTAGAGCACTTTCCCAGCCTGCATAAGGCTCTGGTTTAATCTCCAGCACACACACACACACACACACACACACACACACATACACACACACACAAAATCCAAACTTTAGCAACTTCCTTTCTTTTTCTTTACTTTTCTGGAACAGGTTCCTACTTGGTTGGTTGGTTGGTTGGTTGGTTGGTTGATTGATTGCCTGGGTCTAAACAAACAAAGGAATATCCAGTAAGGGTGGCATTTTTCCACTGGAGGAAATAGAATGGAGAAGCAGATATTCAGAACTCATGTCTGAGGTCACCCAGCAAGCCAGCTCAGGAAATCTTGGCTTTAACTCTGTGCATTGCTTCTTTTTGCTGAGGTTCCTGCTCTGCTCTGCTCTTGTTCTGATGTGCTTAAACATCCTGGGGTGTGTGTGTGTGTGTGTGTGTGTGTGTCTGTCTGTCTGGAGGGTGTTCCCCTAGCATAGAAGCAGGGAGCCTTTGGGGCTGAGGGGAGGTAGGCTCCTTACAGCTACACACCTCTAATGCCTCTGTAGAATGAGAGGGCTGGCTTCGATAACATCTGAGGTCCTTTCAAGTTCTGTCTGGTTGATCAAATGGAAGGAACAGATAAAATCTTTCTTCTACAGAAAGCAGGGCACATTAGCTAAGAGAAGCTCAAAGTGGCAACATGCTGGGGAGTCCCCGAGAACATGGTCCCATCTGATCAGCCTGTCACACCTGCCACTCACAGCAAGAGTGTTTTCAGCATTCTGTGGTCTCCCTGTGAGCTTTCCCTTTGATCTCTTGGGCTCAGCTCACCAGTGCCACAGCCACTTCTCTTTCCACTCAGAGAGATGGGCTAATGTTCCCAGCCAGCTGCCACATGAGGTAGGGATGGCTTGGAAATGTGACATTTCTGACGTGGATTTTGTGTTCTGATTACAACAGGTTTACTGCTCAACTGAGAGAGCTTCATGGGATGGAAATTCTCAACTCTACAGTGAAATACATCCAGGATTCTTGAGAGAGGTGGTGTCTGTGCTATTTTGTAAACACACACCATATGTTCTGGGGTGATGATATGCTAATAAAGTTCTCTTAGATATCCACTCTAGAACTGAATGTTTATTTTCAGTGTGTTTGTCTGGTGTGTTTTCACTGGTAAGAAGAGAGTGGGCATTGGTGGTGACTGTAGTGGAAACTGCTTCAGCGAGCTCAACTCCATCGTACCCGCCTCTGAATCTTCCCTCCCATTCTGTGTAGTCTGGAACCCAGCCAACACAAAGCCACATTTTCCAGACCCCTTACAACAACACTTGTAGATGGGAACCAGATCCTGCCAGTTTAAGACCACTTCCTGCCCCATTTGCCGTCTTTTGCTGGCAACATGCTAGAAATGCCAGGTTTCTTGGCAGTGACATTTTGGCATCTGCTTTCCAGCTCTGAGTGCCTTGAGATAGACAAAGTGGCAGTAGTGGTGGCAGCTTTCTGAAACCCAGCACAGCTATGGCACGTGCTCTTGAACTCAGTGGGCCCAGTGGTCAGAGTGGCTGGCTGTCAGGACAGCTCTGTGCAGTCTTGGGAGTCATTTCCAGATGCCATGCCTGGCACCGTGCAGCCCATCCAGTGGTGTCTATGTACCCATGCTGTGTGTTAGATTGTTCTCTACTTAAAATGCCAGAACAGGGCTTCTATTTATGCACTGAACCCTGACTTTTGCATACATTGATTCCTCTATCCTACTTTACGCTTCTATCCCATTCTCAAAGGCACTGCTCCCCTTTCATTGACCCCTGTCCATAAAACCTTAGACCATAGCCACCTGTAGACTCCAAGTCCCTAAGTGAAAAGTCTAGTGAGACTACTCTGGCTTTTTAGTTCAATCACTTGGTCATTTTAGAGTAGGAGACAGGATCTACTTTTGTTATAGTTTAAATATGAGGACATCCTCCAAAAGCTCATGTGTGAGATAATGCAAGAATGTTCAGAGGTGAAAAGATTGGGTTATGAAAGCCTTTGCCTAATTAATTTCCTGCCAGAGATTAACTGGGTGATAACCCTAGGCAGGCAGGATGTGGCTAGAGGAGGTGGGTCATTGGGTATGCCTTTGGGGTATATATTTTGTCTCTGGAAAGTGGCGCTGTGTCCCTCTGCTTCCTGGTGTGATGTCCTCAGCTGCTTTCCTCTGCCTCACCCTTCTGTCTTGATGTTCTGCCTCATCTCAAGCACCTAGGAATGGAGCCAGCTATCTTATGAACTGAATCCTCTGATATCATGAGCGCCAAGTAAACTTTTCCTCCTTAAAATTGTTTTTGTGAGGTCTTTTGGTCACAGCAATGAAAACTAAAACAACACTGCACAGTGAATTGTGACAAGAGTCCCATACCAAAGTTCCAAAGAATGGTATACCCTGCTATCTCCCAGTTATGTGATTGGGTAGGTTGCCTCATCTCCCAGACTGCTGTATCTGGGAAAACTGGAATGGCACCTGGCCAGCCTACCTCTCATGTTGCTGTGAAGGTTAAATTAGGGCTTGGAGGTATATAGCTTGGATCTGAAGTGTCCCCCAAAGACCCATGTGTTAAAGGCTTGGTCCCCAGCTTGGCACTCTTGGGAGGTGGTGGAAATTCTAAGAGGTGGGAGAGCTTTGGGTTACAAGGTCGTGCTCTTAGAGGGGGTTAAAGGGACCTTGGTCATCTTCTTTCTTTTGCTTCCCACCAAGAAGTGAACAGTGTGCTCTGCAGCCATGTGCCTGCCTTATGCTGGCCAACCTCCAGAGGCCTAAAAACAGCGGGTCCACCCAATTTTGGACTAAACCTCCAAAACGTGAGCCAAAATAAACACGGTCTCTTTATAAGCTAATCATCTCGTATTTGTACAGTGACAACACTTACTGACATCAGACATGAAGGCATGTTAGGGAATTACAGCACTACACAAATATCACCAAGCATTTCCATCTTGAGGGGTGTGTATTGGGGGGGGGGCTACTATGATGTCAGTGGATTTAGGTTTGAGGGTTTGGGAATGGGTAATTTTATGTCCTTTAAGGAATCAAAGCTGGATGTTTTCTGAAACACTTAGGAAAAGAAACCTCCAGAGAGATCTTACTCAACACACACAAAGAGACGATTCTTCCTAGGAGAGGCAGTCATTGGCTTAAATGGTGTTTGGTATTTGGTGGTGGGGGGTGGGACTGGTTGGAAGAATCACTAACCCAGAGGCCCTCACTCTGGGGTTGGGGTACCACATGGGGCTGGTGTGAGCTCCCAGGAGTACACTGTGCTGGTGCCATAGTACTGTCCCTGAGTGGCAGGCAGGAGACAGGCCTCAGAGAAGCTGGGACCTGCCCACTCAATACTGTCATGCAAACAAACACCCTTCAAGAGGCTACTGAATTGCAAAGGGAGAATGGCTTGATGCTAAACAGCAAGAAGAGAAAATTAGAGGCTGCAAAATGTGCTTTTTCAGTGAGAATTCAGTGGAGCTTTGAAAATGGAAAGAGCTGCCTCTGTGCACACCCGACAGGCTTGTCTGATTCAGCTCAGGCCCTCCTTCTCCTGCTCTTTGGCTGCACTCCTCCTTCCTGGCTCTTAAACATGGCTATTATAGGTGTAATCTTATCGCTGAAAAGTGGGGAATGTCAAATTTTATTATTTGTGCTTCAGAGCACCTATGAGAGCAGTAATCTTTCTCACTTTGGAGGAGGGTCTGCTGCACCTGAGGCATGCTTTCCTCTCACAGATGGGAAGGGATGTCTTATAAACAGGTGCTACTTCAAGGTGAGCTACCCTTCCCCATCTTGTTACCTAATGCACATTTCTATGCAAGGGATCCAGGCAGCATTTAAAATAAAAAACCTACGGCAGGTCCTGTGGGCCAGCAGCCACTGGCACCAACCATACCACCTCAAGGTATGGACTATTCAGGGAAAGTAGAGTCTGATGTTTCCTTGGACAAAGGAGCTGGGATCATCCTAAAGAGGATGTGACCAAGATGGAGCTCAATCTCTGTGCTGAAACCCAACAAAGGTACTAGATAACAGACTAAACAGCTGTCCCCTGCCTTCAGAGATGATGTGACATCAGCAGTTGTACTGGGCAGCCAAGTGACACTGAAATTAAATAACAGGAGGAAATAGCAGGAGGGGCACAAGGTGATGCCACAGCTAGGGGACTGCTATTGGAAGTATTTTTATGAGGCCTGACTACAGCAAGAGCCTCTTGGCTTGGAGAATTTAGAGGAAGGACAGAAGATGTGGCTTAGAGAATTTGGAGGAAGGACAGAAGATGTTTAGTCCTATATGATTTTTTTTTAAAGAGAGAGAGAGAGAGAGAATTTTAATATTTATTTTTTAGTTCTCGGTGGACACAACATCTTTGTTTGTATGTGGTGCTGAGGATCGACCCGGGCCGCACGCATGCCGGGCGAGCGCACTACCGCTTGAGCCACATCCCCAGCCCTAATTTTTTTTTTTTGCAATAGATCTCATTTTCTTTCTTTTCATTTTTGTATCCCAGGGGCATTTAATCCCTGAGCCACATCCCAAGCCCTTTTTTTAAATTTTTTTTTTTTTTTTTTGAGACAGGTTCTCACTCAGTTGCTTAGAACTTTGCTAAGTTGCTAGAGCTGGCTTTGAATTTGGGATCCTCTTGCCTCAGCCTCCCAAGCCTCTGGGATAACAGGCATGTACCACCATACCTGGCATAGATCACTTTTTCTGTCTTGAAATCACAGGCTCTCCTCCAGGCCCAGTAAGAGGAGGAAATAATTGGAGGTGAAGAAAACACATTCAGAATGACTCCCTCTCCCAGTGTGAGAGGGCCTTTGCCTTCGTGGGCTGGTGTCCTGTAGCTCTGCACAGAGAGAAAATAGACCCCGCCAGTGCATTGAGCACCTGCTCTGCACCCAGGGTAAACTTCACAAGGACCTGGTGAGGCAGGGTTTTTTGTTTTGTTTTGTTTAGTTCTCATTTTAGGAGTACAGAATCTCAGAGAGAATAGATACTTCCTTACCTAGGGTCCCATAGCCAGTAAGTAGGGGAGTCAGAATTTGACCCCATGTTGTTTTAACTCTTTTTGTAGAAAACATTTTGCTACTTACTAAATGCGGCCTGCAGAAGTCATTATCCTTCTCTAGCCTCGGTTTCCTCTCTGTAAAATAAGAGCAACAACCCCTACCTCACATTCTTTGGTTGGATATAATATTCATGAGGTACCTAGGACAGGTGACTAGCAAGTAGAAGACTTTTGTTTCATGGTGAATATTACTTTTCTTTTTCTTCTATTTTCTTTTTAAGAATTGAACTTTTATTTTATTTATTTGTTTTTATGGGGTGCTGAGGATCGAAACCAGTGCCTCACCTGTGCTAGGCAAGCGCTCTACCACTGAGCTACAGCCCCTGCCCGGAATATTACTTTTCTATCAGAAATGACCACAAGGCACTCTTTTATGCTCACAGATCTGCTTATCTCCAGTTCACTGGAGGCAAGCATGTTTACCTTTCTCTTTATGCCTGGAGAAGCATATATGAGGATCCCTCCAAGCTCAGCTGCCAGCCTGATTTCTTATATTACATCCAAACAGCAAGTTCTGAGAACTCTAGTCCCGGCTAGGATAGTGTTCTAAGCATATTCTGAGCCCAGGAACAGTGCTTCTCTCCAGGAACCAAATGACTGGGCCCTGCCAGGACCTGGGGCTGGGCTGCATTTCTATTAGCAGGACACCATGTGTGGCAAAAGGTATTAGAATCAGTGCCTCAAATCCCCCTCTCCAAACAGATGCCCCTCTGTTTCTTGCTAATTTTCCTCAGTTTAGAATCAAGAAAATGGTAGATTCCATCAACTATCACTCCAACCGCACATCCATCAGGTTATTGTTAGTTCTTTTCTCCTCAAGTCCCACAGCTGCATGCCCCACCCACAGGCCAAATCACTGAGAACAGGGAAGCCAAGCCCAGAGGAACCATCACCTAGTCCCCTGCTCCATGTCCTGCAGTGGTTGGTTGACAGCCAAACACTGGGCTTTCAGAATCTGAAACTGGTGGGTTGATTAGTTTCTTTTTAACAAGATCTCTAATTTGTCCTCGATTTCAAAAAGGGAAAATGAAGAATGAGTTCTCC